GGTTTAACAAACGTTTGCCAATGTACAGACGAGGTTTAGAAAACCTTTGCCAATGTACAGACGAGGTTTAACAAACGTTTGCCAATGTACAGACGAGGTTTAGAAAACCTTTGCCAATGTACAGACGAGGTTTAACAAACGTTTGCCAATGTACAGACGAGGTTTAACAAACGTTTGCCAATGTACAGACGAGGTTTAGAAAACCATTGCCAATGTACAGACGAGGTTTAACAAACCTTTGCCAATGTACAGACGAGGTTTAACAAACGTTTGTCAATGTACAGACGAGGTTTAACAAGCATTGGCGAAGGGTCTGACGGGTTTAAAAAACATTGGCGAAGGTCAGGCGGGCTTTAAAAAGGTTTAACAAACTTGGGTCAAGGGACAGACGTGGTTTTACAAACATGGACCAAGTAACAGAGGGGAGTAAAAACCTTTGCCAAAGGACAGGCGAGGTTTATTAAACCTTGGTCAAGGGTGGGTCGAGCGAAAATGGGGTTTAAAAAACCTGGACCAAGTGACAGATGGGGTTTAACAAGCCTGGACCAAGTGACAGATGGGATTTAACCAGCCTGGACTAAGTGACAGATGGGGTTACAAAAACTGAGCCAAAGGGCTTTATAAAACTTTGGTCAAGGGAAAGACGGGTTTAACAAACCTGGACCAAGGGGCAGGCGGGGCTTAACAAACCTGGGCCAAGGAACAGACGGGGTGTAACAAACCTAGGTCAAGGGACTGGCGGGGTTTATTAAACCTTGGTCAAGGGAAAGACGGGGTTTAACAAACCTGGTTCGAGCAAAAGACGGTGTTTTAAAAGCCTGGACCAAGAGAAAATGGGATTTAACAAGTCCGGACCAAGTGACAGATTGGGTTAAAAAAATCTGAGCGAAAGGGCAGACTGGGTTTAACAAATCGTGGCCAAGTGACAGACTATGTTTAACAAACCTCGGCTAGAGGAAAGACGGTGTTTAACAAACCATGTGCAAGGGACTGGCGTGGTTTATAAAACCTCGGCCAAAGAACAGACGGGTTTAACAAACCTGGGCCAAGTGACAGGGGGTTTAACAAAACTTGACTAGGGCACAGATGGGGTTTAACAAACGTGGGCCAAATGACAGAGGGTTTAACAAACATTGGCTAAGGGACTGGCAGGGTTTAGCAAACCTCAGCCAGGGGACAGTTGTTTTTTATCAAATCTGGGCCGAGGGACAGACGGGTATTAGGAAAAAAAACATGATCTTGAGGATAATGGGGATATAACAAACCTTGCCCAAGGTACAGACGGGAACATGAGAGACCCGTGCCAATGGCCTTACGGGGGTTTGATAAACCTGGGTCAAGATACCGTCCAGATCAATTACAGTGAAGTGTTTTGTCACATGATATACCTTCGTCAGCACAGCGGTCCGTTTCTAAGTTTCCCGAGAAACGCAAACCGACACAAGTTATGAGAGTCGCACCGCACGCCATTGATCTTCACCTGTGACAAACATGAATCTAACAAAACTGGGCAAAGGGACAGAAGTGGATTTAACAACCCTCGGCCAAGGCAGTTACAAGGATTTAACAACCCTCGGCCAAGGCAGTTACAGGGATTTAACAACCCTCGGCCAAGGCAGTTACAGGGATTTAACAACCCTCGGCCAAGGCAGTTACAGGGATTTAACAACCCTCGGCCAAGGCAGTTACAGGGATTTAACAACCCTCGGCCAAGGCAGTTACAGGGTTTTAACAACCCTCGGCCAAGGCAGTTACAGGGATTTGACATACCTCGGCCAAGGCAGTTACAGGGATTGGATATACTTGGACCAATTGGATGACAGGGTCTTGGTATACCTGTTCAAACGAAGAGATGAAAATTTCCTAAAACTTTGCCAAGAATAGATGGAGATTTAACAAACCTTGCCTACGTCACAGACGGAGATTTCGTATGTTTTTTAACGTTAAGTACTTTTTCGGCTTTATTCAACAAACGTTTATATAAGACAGGGACCTGTATACAAAGGTAAAATTACTACTTGTTTGGTAAGGCTTGTCGAATGTTTGTAAACTTTTAATAATGTTTCTCCCTAGTTAAGACCCCCTATCTCACTCAAAGGGTGTGAAATTCACATGCAAGAAAGAGATTTGCTCACTGCATTCAGTGAATATACATCCATAAATTAGTATACTTGGTTAATGAAACATTTAGAATTATTGAAAATTTACAATAATTTTACATTGTAATAGTTTTTTTTATATATATTATCAGTGATAATAATAAGACTTTAATAATGGAATAAATTGGGGATACACTTGACTGTCTTACCCTTGTCAAAGTCTCCAGCGATTCTAATGGGTTTGGAGAAAAGAGTGTTGCCAGAAATCTCGGTTACTTTCACATTTATACCAATAAAAAATCATTTATACCTTTAAGGTAAAAAATACGATGTTATTGGTTAGTGGTAATAAATGTCGGAGTGTGAAGTATTTGATTTAAAATGTTACTCTCTTAAAGTAAACTGTGTCGGAGATAGAACTACGGGAAATCTAGAAATATCCACGTAAGTCTGTACAAATATCAGCTCGAAATAAAACCTACCATTTCCAGGTCTGTTTGTCAGCCAAAACAATGTGTGTTATAAGACCATACTTTTCATCTGTTTGCTTTAGGTTTTAGGTTCTCGAATTAGCCAGAGGTGGGGGGGGGGGGGGGGGGGGGGCAGGGATTTGGGGGGGAGCAAGGGAGAGAGAGAGAGGTCTATTTGTGTGTGTGTGTGTGTGTGTGTTTGTGTGTGTGTGATGGTATGTGTGTGTGTGTGTGTTTGAGAGAGAGAGAGAGAGAGAGAGAGAGAGAGAGAGAGAGAGAGAGAGAGAGAGAGAGAGAGAGAGAGGGGGGGGGATGAGCGAGAGAGAGAGAGAGCACATTTATTCCACGTGTTGCACTTATATTTTAAGTCACCTTAGTAGAAGACAAAGAAAAAATCGAGTACTCAGCAGGGAGTTGGGTTGTCAGTAACTCAGTTGGATACACCGTGTATAAATCTTAAGTTATCCTATGTTATGGAAATCGCCCTTGATAATACAGGCAATCACGCCATCAGGGTCACTTTTTGCGACTTGTAGTGTGATACAGAAGGTATATCTAGATTTCCAGTGAGGCATCTCCAGCTTTCTGATCTTCCATTTTTAATTCCCTTTTAAAATACTCAAATCATATGCTTTTAAAATAAATATTTTGTTTAAATCGAGTCTACAGTTTTGGTTCCAGACACAATGTTTAATATGCAATATACTAACGGGCTGGTACTTAGAGGCTACAATGAGTAGAAGACAAAAACAATGGAGGTCCCAAATGTTACCGTAGAAGCCATCCAAAAACGAGAACATCAAGCTTATCTGATCATCTGATCACAACTTCCGGTATGGTTTAGATCATTCCAACAGGACTACGGCACTTCCGGAAGGATTAGGGTACATCTTGTTGGATTTCGGCACTTTCGATGGAATTATGATAGATTTATCCGTTATCTATAATTGTTTTGAGACTTAAATGTGGATTGAATACATCCTCATAGAATTCTAGTGTTAATTTGATTTTTCATGCGTTATCGGTTTAAAATCGAAAAAAAAAACAAAAACAAAAACAAAAAAAAACCCAAGATTGTTCATAACAAGGAATGTCGAGTTTATAACTACATAGATACCTCTCATTCACATCTCTCTTAAGATTTACCTGATCAGGGGAAATTGTTTTACAACAGCCTAAAGATAATTTCATTATTTCTATATGTACTTTTAGATATGGAATATAAATGTATGAAAAATCAAATATCGGATAAAGAGAGAAAGATATTAATTTACTAGATTACCTGGGTCAGAAGCTTCATGTATAGCCTTCCAGTCTTACTCTCGCGCGTCGATTAATAAAAAAGTTCAATCGTCCAAAGATGAATTCTGATATCGGACTCCGAATTAACACATTTTTTCATTTGAGCTTTTGTTAATCTGAAATATGCATTAAGACGTTACCCAAATATCGCTATCGAATGCCGTGTTAACGAAGTCCAAGGAGACATTAAGCAATTACCAGATTATTTCTGTCAGACGTCGAATAAATGATGTCAAACGTGTCCAAAAAGTATTTCTGAAACCTGACCATCAAATATGGGTTATGGAAATCTGAAGTGACATCAAGATATTAATATGTCATGTTATTTAAGTGCAGGTTAATGAAAGCTGAGATGTCCGACATTATAACGGTGACATCCGGATCAATGTTTACGGAAGATGACTCTAAAAATGGGAAGACTGATCACCAAAGCAGAAGCCAAGATTTTCTCAAAAACGATCTGAGGAGTTTCACACTTAAATTGAAAAATATGTTCCACCTTTGTTACTATTAGAACAAGATCTGTGATCAAATTCCACATTTGGATGGTGCACGGACAATGTACTCATGCATGAATGGAATGTGAACCAACTGTAGGTACATACATCAGATAGAGAAAAGTTCCGCCGTATCTACGTTCACAGCTAACTACCACCGACTCCCTCTCTCACAGAGGTATTTTTATTCATACCAACACCAAGTACGATTACATGCGATTGTTCTGGACCTCGAACACCGTGAATACGTGTACAATATCTGGAACGAACACTGACATCATTTTGCGGATGAAATTAGTGTTTTTATACAGCGTCAACCATTCATTTATCACAAAGGAAAGGACTGGTATTGTTTATATAATACAGTTTGATTGTTGTGAGTGTTCTGAATGATATTTTTTTTCAGTTAGAAACCTGGTATTGGATTAATGTGATTTTTCATGACTTACATAATTCCATATAAATCAGGATTTTATAAAGAAGAAAAAAACGCAGTTTGGATTGATTTTAATGCATAAAATCGTGCATGGCATATCACAAACTTCTGTGTTGGAATAAAAAAAAAATTGGCGAAAGTGACTTTAATTTTGGATATTAATCTATAAGTACCATATCATAACTCTGCATTGACCAGAGGGAAGGAGTCAAAATAAGGATCAGTGTCCCGGATGAAAATTTACTGACTTTGACTGTACATGGGAAGTATCTTTTGATTAGTGATGTAATGAACGTGTGGTCAGCTGCCGTGAATGGTAAAATTCCCATATGATACCATATTACATGAAGAAATGTCAGTTATCCATAGATGATTAAGGGATGAATTTGGTTACCGGTATTCACTAATCATTCAAATTTTCAATTTTAACTTTTCACATCATCACATTCCAAGTTTAAACATGGATGTATTTAGATATATCTGTTTGATATTATGGATTATAACGACTAAGGGTGGACATGCCCAGATACAAGAAAGTGATACTGGTGACAAAACGATAGATGCAGAGGCTGCGCGTGCATGGCTCGAACAATACAATCGGGATGCCTCGGACATCTCTTATGAAAGTTCAGTCACTCACTGGAATTATGCAACAAACATAACGGAGCATAACAGGAAGCTCGCGGTAAGTCGTATTACTATTCTCAAGGTGTGGGGAAATGCTTAACTATTTCCATATACGTAAAACTTATATGCTTTCGGAGTTAGATATAAGTATTTTAAGTACCTAAGGTCAGGATGAGAAAACTATAATTATAACATCTTATTTTCTGCTGTGTTTGAATCTATTACGTCAGTTTCACTGATACGTCATTCTCTGTTTTTTATCTTTCCATAACAAGTAAGTAAAGGTCCATGGGCCACATTAACCTGTATTAATTATTAAACGTGTTATGTTTACACGAAAGGAGGGGAACGCACAAGTACAACTAATCGTTAATGTTTTGTATGTATTATGTACACCAAGGTATAACGTACAGTTACACTTGTACGATACAGTAACGCTATCTAAAAATGCATGTATGTTATGTACATGCAGATGTGAGTCTAAAATATGCAATTTTACATCTTGAAAACAATTAACAACTTTTTGATAAAACTCTCCGAATTTTATTGCTCGTTGTTAAATCCTTAACTATTGGAGCAGTTCTGATCCTATTTTCTCAGACAGTTCAATATTTGTGTCGCAAGTTTTCGTATCAATGGTATCAACCACGTGGTTGTGAATGCACTTGGATCAGCGTCATTTTGACACTTGTCGTGCCTCATTGCGAAGTGTGCATACGACACAAACATTATGGTGACACCACACAGCATAATTCTAGCATGTCTTAAACAATGCCTTGGGATTTTAGGGTGTAAAAGCTGATGGTTGATTCAAATTCTCGACTTTTGTCGTAACAAATATTTATACTGTTTATAGCATACAAACGTACTTCTGCAAAAATAATAAAAAAAATCATAATACACGAACTTTACTAGTGAACGTTTACAGCTGTATCTTAACACTTGTGCTGGTCACTTTCAAATATCATAATTTTGTCTTCTGGATTCCTATAGTTCAGGTCATTAGGGTAAATGATCGATTAATAATTTGCTAAAAGAAGATGTAAACAGATGACCCAATACCTGTTCACTTCTGAACGGAGAATCGAACCTCGGTCGCCTAATATGGTACAGGTGAAAGATGGATACTGCACCACCTGACGATCTTATCTAATATATCTACGATTGAATCTATATTGGAAGGTGCTATCCATCTGTATGTGTTTTGTACAATAATACAGTTCTGTTAAAAAGTTAATATTAAACAACTAACGACTACATTTTGTATTCAAATGTAAGGATAGTAGGAAATGAGTTTTCATAGACCGGTATGAACGCAGATATCCTTTTTCATACTTCGGTAAAGCAAAAACAAGGAGGTTCTCCGAGGTCTTTTCCGGAATTTAACACTATGCTCCTAGATATACTGACGTATCATAAAAAGATTTTCTAGTTATGAATATCAGTATTACAGGCGTTATAAAAACGTGGGCCTTGTGTGCACCACTATAGTATCGTATATATTGGCTACTTCATATTAAAATTTTCATGAAACAGCGCCGGTTTATAAATTATTCTCCGATAGCCTCTTCATGTTCTCAGTGACGTAAATTACAGAAATTAAACAATCTTTTACACTTCCTCTATACTTGATGGATGAAGATTTCCAAAATTCCTTTCTGATTTTGACGATTCTAGGAACATTATTCATGGTACTATCAAAACACAAAAATGAATATTAAATGTCCGCAAATTCTCATTTACATGTAGATGTTAACGACCTGGAGAGAGCCAGGAAACTTATGTTGAAAGTCACTAGTTTAAACATTAATACAGATTTATAAAAGCAATCAAGAAAAGAATTATCGAAAATCGTCGTTTTATTTCTAAATTATTATTCTTTAGAGGTTAAACGGTTCTAAAATTAGAGGTGTCATATCGTTTTTCTTGGCGACAAGGAAGAATATATGCCATATTTACCACCGTACCATACAAAGACACGCTGATGGTAATTGGACAAAAAACGTGTGAGTTATGTTACGGCCCACCCTCAGATACAGCTATAAATCGTATCTAAGTGATTATGACTACACCCAACTGTTTTTCTCCTTAACAACTTGAACTCTTCTGGTGTCCATCATGCTAATTAGCTATAAAACGCATACAGTGTGTGGTATAAAATCCGTAATCGGATAAATGTAACAAATTTCACACTATCTCTTGATTTATGTACAATTATTGTCTTGCTGTCGTAGAGAGACTACGTTGTTGCTTCTCCCAGTGTTTCATCACCTCACACAGCTTTAATTTTATCTTTATGGTTTAATGTTTATTGAGTAAGTACGGTCACACACACACACACACACACACACACACACACACACAGAGAGAGAGAGAGAGAGAGAGAGAGAGAGAGAGAGAGAGAGAGAGAGAGAGAGGAGAGAGAAGGAGTAGGAGAGAGAGAGAGAGAGAGAGAGAGAGAGAGAGAGAGAGAGAGAGAGAGAGAGAGAGAGAGAGAGAGAGAGAGAGAGAGAGAGAGAGAGAGAGAGAGAGAGAGAGAGAGAGAGAGAGAGAGAGAGAGAGAGAGAGAGAGAGAGAGAGAGAGAGAGAGAGAGAGAGAGAGAGAGAGAGAGAGAGAGGCCTCAATGTTTCCGACATTTGCAGAATATTGCAAAAATTTATTTTTCTGCGACATTGAAAATAAAGGATACTGAGATGTAACTTTCAGATTCTGTTATAAGTTTTGTTTTCTGCAGAGAAACACATATGGCGTCTATCCTTCAATTACAATGTGTTATAATTTGTCAAGTTCATTGTGAAATTTGATTACATTATATTGAAAAGAATACTTTCGGATTCCCTGGAGATTTTCTCTCATTTATCAGGAAAGATGATCATTTGAAGATGAACCTATCTAAAAAAGTTTATGATGAGAAATGTCTATCTGTGATATAAATCTGAATGTGGGGGTGGTGGGGGTTTGGGGATGGTGATAATCAAATGTACTTTAATCATTACAAACCTCTCTTACTAACTATATCTGCTGGATTTAGCATGAGGGGTAAGTATTTATATAAAATCAATGCCAGAATGATATGTTACATCGGGGTGTCCCTGAACGCATACATGTCTAGGACAATAGGTAGAAACATCAAAGGGAGGGTAATTATTGTCCGTTTCATATAGGTACTGTATTTACCTGAGATATTTTACTTGTGGATCAACCTGTAATTTCTATTTTTGACTGCAAAGTTACATGAAGGACATTAGTTACAAATATTAAACAATTAACATTAATAAGACCTTCACTGAGGAAACTTATTCACAGTGGTGGCGCCGGAAGGTATTGCTTGTCCTGGGTCAGAAAATTGGTTCTAGAAAGGCTACAGTTCGTATTTGACACAGTGCCATATGTTGGTAGTGTATGAAGTGTACATAAACGTTCGATTCACTCCAACATTAAATGATGAATACCCTGCAGACAAATTCTGTGTCGTATCGAGCAAGATTAGGCACATAGTGACCGCTATCTTTAGCCTCCCCAACCATAAACTCGCAACCTTCTTCATTACACGAATGAATGATTTGATAATGTCTTGCATAGCGTATGATAACACATTCATCGTTCGCTCCAGTAAGAAATGGAAGTTTGATAATATCCGTGCGGTGCTTCATTCCTTGACGGTGACAGGTTCCTGAGATAAGAGACTATTACGGCTGGAGTTAATGTGCTGTTGTCATCTGATACGTGAGATGTTCGAGTTGTAAAAATAAATCATGGTTTTAGTTTACAACAAAAGTTTTGGCAATGCATTCAACATGGTACATGTTTTGCCGACAAGGATCGTCTTTATAGTGTATGGTCCGTTGGAATTGATAAATTATATTGCATAAAAATTAAAGTTTACAAGAATAATATGTCTAAAAGACAGAACAATTGAACACAGCTGTTGTCTTGTCACCAGTCTAGTTATTGTTTCCAAGTGAATACATTTGGAATTTTTTTTTGTATATTTATTGAGATGCTAAAAAAATTGACAAGAAAATCATGGTATTTCAAGTCAAATGAAACACTCTAAATATAATTGTCTTACCATCATAATTTAGAGATAAACCTCCCAACCATTTCCTGGTGATGACGTTTATTCTCAGTTTAACGGGTTCCAATATATATATATCGATACACTGTTTTTGTCATGTTTGAGATCAATTCATTTATAGTGAAACCTACATTTTCATTGCTCTGTTCGCAATATTCCGTCAAACATCTGAAGCACATGGAGACACTTGGATACGCAGGAGGCAAACCTTAATGATTCTAAGAAGTTTGATAAAGTAACCCGGTATATTGTCAAAAACATTAGTCGGCGAGTTACAGCTATTTTTAAACCATAGAATAACTCTGTTACTTTACCATCTTCTATCTGTCGATCACGATAAAAACATTTATATCCAGGATGATAAAGGTTTGATGTTGTTGATATGTAGCTTTTAATAAAAATATACAGTAGATGTATACATTCCAGAAGTCTTTATTTTCCTGTTGGTGTATCACGTAATGTTTTGTTGCCGCTGATTTTATCACAATAAATGCCATAACGTTTATAAGTAAACTCTGTGTAATCTATTAGGTCACGGCGCTGCTTACGTGATCTGGTTCCAAGGGAAATAACTCTCACAAGAAATACTGTCAGGAACACAGCTATAGTTCTAGAAAAGGGACGATATGTCTTCTATTATTTCCTGAAAAGCTCATTCCTCTCGTTTGTTTGCATGTCTAGTATTTTTGTCGTTTGGAAGGATTTGAAAAAAGATTGATAAATAGATAAGTAAATAAATAAATAAATTAAAAACAAAATTATCACTTAATTATTTGGAAATATATATAATTCGCCGTTTAATCTTAATTTCATTTCAGGTGGAAACGAGTTTGAAGACATCCAGCTTCTATAAAAACAAGTCTGATGAAGCCAACTCTTTTCCCTGGAGGAATTTCACCGATCCCTCTTTACGAAGACAGTTTCGCTTTATCGCCAACAAAGGCGTCAGTTCGGTCAAGAATGAGAGCTTGTATAAAGAAGTAAGGCACACTGACCTTTTTTATGTAGCGGGTTAAGTGTCGCAAGTGGTGCCGAAATGTATCGGTAACGACAAGCTGAAGAAATCTATATATACATAAAAAGGAAATATATTCAGAAATATGAATGTATTGCTGAGTTTCAAGATTTTTCATTAATTGAGTATGTTTTTTTATGATTTTTAAAAGATTTCGAAGGATGTAACTTTTAATTCTTATTTGAGCTAATATTTGTTCATGTTTTCAGGGCGTTATAAAAAGGGTACGGGGCGGGGGGGGGTGGGGGACAATTTCTAGCTCCGCCAACTCTGTATAAACCTATGGAAAAAATATTTTTTATATAAAATTCGTATCAATATAAAGATTAAAATGTATGTTTAATTTGTTATAAACGAAAAGTGATCTCCAGTTTCTAAGTTAAGATACTTTCGATATTTTGCCGTGGATGATCTGCTGATTACTTGTGAGCACGCCGGCTACGCTAGTTTGTGGCGTCTATTTAAGAGCTATGAACCCTAGCTGTATTATTTACTGGTGTTGATTTCCAACATGTGAACAGATGTTTATAAATACCAGCACAACTGAAAACAGATTTTCTAAAATAATGTTTATGAAACACGTTTTTCAATTGGATAACTTTCATGATCAAGTCGGTGATATACACATGAATTTCTGACGCTAGCCTAAATATGCCGACAATCTTTCCGGTGACGCGGATTGTCGACATGGACATTGGAGAAATTTGTTACAACGACACGCTGAAGTGTGTCATGGAAATGTGAAGTAGGGATTACGATATCTTTGTAACATATTCCTATTATCATTTTGCTCCGCTTCAAGTGAGTTTGCCGGTAATAATAATAATAAAAAAAAAAAAAAACCGAAAAAGACAATATGAGGTGATATTCTCATTTCAGGGATCAATTTCTGTCAATAATATCACAGAATATATTGTCTATGCCTCTCCACGATGTGTGCTGTTTTGTTTGCTTTATTGAAGACATGACGAAGTTTGGGTAGATACACTAGAATATAAACAACAACTTAGACCGATAATCCACACAGAGTAACACTTTTAGCCTTTTCAAATGCCTCGACCTACACCTCGACCCGAATCTATCGACATCTTAACTGGAAAGTGGGCGTAACGTCTTCGTCAACGATGGTTGTAAAAGGCGTGTTTTGATTGGCTATTAACATTTGAGCGACCGTTTCAAACAAAACTGTGCAGTTCGTAGTTTTTCTTGCATTTCGTAGATATTCCGATAATCACATCACTTTTAGGACTAAATCATTTAAGAATGGGGATAGTTTGTTTGTTTTTATGTATAGACTGGAGATTAGATAATGAATTTCATCATTGTAACACTCGACTTCTCTCATGTTAAAACAACAAAATTCTGACCTAATCTCCAGGCTAAGCATAAAGTATACTATCCCCTTTCTTAAATTATATCGCGAATATTATCGTGACGTCATAATAGGCACAGACATTTGGTTTTTATGAAGACAAAAAATGTCATTGACAGATATAATTAAAAACTATTATTTTTTTTATTTACACGTCAGAAGTTGAAATCTAGAACACGACAAACACTTCAGCCGTTGACCTCGATCGTTTCCTGTAACGAAACTAACAGGGACAAATTTCCACTCAACTATTTGATAAGCGTGATGATTTTAATATTACTATTGCGCACTTCCGATTTATGGGAAGCAACAACTTATTCGATATTACATGGTATGCTCGTAGTATCTCAAATTTCATAACAAGATTTTGACCACTGTCGAATAAATTCAGAATAAAGGGTTTTGTGAGATGCAGGTTGGTAAAAATAATGAGGAAGTTTTACGGCTACCACACTAGGTAATTAGGTGTCATCTAAGAAACTGAAAACGCTTACCCTTCAGTAAAACCTGACCCTTTTCTCCCTGAACGCATCTCCGCGTAAATCTTTCTTTTGTTAATATTTTTTCATGTTTTATGGGGTATGAAATTGAATTATGGTTCTGTCGAACATGTCAATGTTATGTTTTTTTGTTTTTTGTTTTTTTTTCTCTATCAAACCATCCAATGATAACAACAGGAAATATTCTAATAAGTACATTGGCTGGTATTACGATTCATTTTTTTCAGATCGTTGAGACAAATTCTGAAATAGAGAGACTTTACAGCACCGGAAAAGTTTGCTTCAAGTCTTCAAATAATTGCCTGGCACTAGAACCCGGTAAATGGAGGGAAGTCACAAGGAATTTAGAGGGGATAAGAGGGGCATCGTAACGAAAGACCAGACTGTATGGAACATGTCATGTTGACATAGAAATAAAACTGAATATTATCACGTAAAAAGTATCCATGCTGTAGAAATCCTGTACTCTCTAATAATGAATTGATCTTGACCAATAACATTTAAGAAATACAAATGAATTGTTGACATTCAAAGAACAAATGAGACCGCTATCAAGTCTGGTGTACAAAAATAAATAACTGTTACACAAAGCTGATCGACGCTTTTAATGTTTAAATAACAATCAATTTGATACTTGTATGATTGTTTTCTCTTTAATAACTGTCTACTCGTTCAACTTCTCATTAATTTGACATGTTAGTCGATATCGGTTGACATAACTTTGCATGAAACATATTAAAGTAATTTACTGTTAGTTTGGTGGATGACTATGTAATGGTAACGACTGCATTTGTATGTAATATCATAATAAATAACGTTGTCATCGAGTTTCCCTTTACAGTGCAAAAGATCATTATGAATTTATCACATAATTGGCCTGTTATCGGAACGATTTCCTTTGGCGGCGCTTGTCAGAAATCGATTGTGATGTCGTAATATAAACAAAATGGCCGACTCGTGTGTCCTCCACATTTTGATTTGAAAACCTGTTAAAATGTATCTGTTGTGTAATGAAAAGTATCTTACTAAATCTTACATTTCATTGTATGTAAATCGTCTAATTGAATTTTACTTACCATGGCTCGGAAAATAAAATTGAAAAAAAAACTTTGACGGCACGTTTCATAAAATCTCAAACGGAATGAAAAAAAAAAAATGAAAAATACATTGTCTTACATATTATACATATGTATTGTATATAATTACTTATTTTGTTCTGTTATCTCTTACAGGTTTAACTCGCCTTCTGGCGAATTCTAGAGACTACTCGGAGTTGTTGCAGGCATGGAAAGGCTGGAGGGATGTCACTGGAAGAAAGATGAAGGATAAATACGTGAAGTTTGTCAACCTCAGCAACGAGGCTATTAAATCTTTAGGAGGTAAATCCATACATCTCGTGAGCCACTATTAAGTCGACATATTAACCAGGGTGTTGAGTAATATACCTGTATTACATGGATTAGTAACGAGTGATGTCAAACACAAACACCAGGACTAATATTAGATAAAAAGATAACTAGTTATCGCACTTATTTAATGTATAAATATTAAGATAAATTATTAATCACTTTATCACATTTGACAAAGTCAACAATGTTACAAAGACGATAGTAATACGTTATATGCTATTGTATCAACAAATATCAAAATGATTCTATATTCAGATGAATATAACCATTTTTCGTTCTTTTTTTTAATCTGTAGATTTCGAAAACAATGCAGATTATTGGTTGTCATGGTATGAATCTGCAGAATTTGAGAGTGAAGTTATGTCAATCATGGAACAGCTGAGACCTGTTTATGTGGAGCTCCACACTTACGTCAGAGAAAAACTCCAGCAAGTTTATCCTGACCATCCGTTTCCGGCAACTGGACACATTCCCGCTCACTTACTTGGTAAATTAAGCTTCACTTAGTTTTGTTGAAATAAATCACAATGACCAGCATTTGATTTGAACCTCTTCACTGACGGATGGTTTGTAAAGAGTTACGTTATATATCAAACTGTAATGCAGTTGTAATGCCTAAGTGTTCTGGCTCTGAAACAGACATATCGTAAAGATTCTTCGTTGGACTGCTTGTATTATTCTTCTTTTCCATTCATTTAAACTTCGACTAACTCGATATCGTGATATGTAGGTAACATGTGGTCACAGAGCTGGGATAACCTTTATGACATCATGAAACCTTTCAAGAACAAGGCTGCTGTTGACGTAACGCCAGCAATGATCGCCCAGGTATGTATGGCATATTTACAATGAAAACACCAATTACCACAAATAACATGACCATTATTGCAGTTTGGTCAGCTATGAAACGTTCCGAATCATGACATCAGAATAAATAAAATGAAAGACGCTGTTAATGCTTAAACTTTATTAAGCGTATTCAAAATTTCATTTTACTGACTTATTTTAATGAGAATAACGTGACCAAATCCATTTTCACAAATTAATTTTCATCTGTCGGAGTAACGCTGCATTATCTTGCCAGATGAGAGAATAAAAGAGTTACAAACCAATATAGCCATGAACCACGTGTCCTATGTTGTAGAATTATACTGTTGACAAAATATTCAGAGTCACTGAGGAATTCTTCACGTCTCTCGGACTGCCAAAATTACGGGAAAATTTCTGGGAGAATTCTATGATGGAGCGTCCTAATGATCGAGAAGTCAGTTGCCACGCCTCAGCGTGGGACTTCCTGAAAAATTATGATTACAGGTTGGACATTACCAAGGATATGTGAACCTCAAAATATTATCTAGACGTTAATATATATATCTATATATATATATCGAAACGAAAAAAATATGACAATTATAGTTGAGACATCAATTCAATGATAGGTCAGGCACAAATACATTGAATTACAGATGATAAATCAAAATATTATATAACATGTGAGACACCAACACAGTTAATAACATGTGAGACACCAACACAATAAATAACGTGTGAGACACCAACACAGTAAATAACATGTGAGACACCAACACAGTAAATAACATGTGAGACACCAATACGTTATATAACATGTCAGACACAAGTATATCAAAGAACATGGGAGACACAAACACATTAAATAAAATGTGAAACAACAATACATTGAATATAGGTGGGATACTAATACATTAAAGAACATGTGAAACACCAATATATTAAATAACATGTGAGACACCATTACATTAAATAAAATGTGAGACACCATTACATTAAATAAAATGTGAAACAACAATACATTGAATATAGGTGGGATACTAATACATTAACTAACATGTGAGACACCAATATATTAGATAACATGTGAGACACCAATACATTAAATAACATGTGAGACACCATTACATTAAATAACATGTGAGACATCATCATATTAAATAACATGTGAGACATCAATACATTAAATTAAACGTTAGACACTACTACATTGAATTAAAATTGTAAGACGACGCTGAGAAACGTAGTTGATTTAATTGTTAGTTGAACTACCGCGATTCGACAAAAGTGTTGAATTAGGAAAAAGTGTAACTGATTGTACAAAAGACAAACAAGTAAATACACACTTTGCAATAGAGATTTACAGCAGAAAAAAAATGCCATAAAGTTTGCATATGTACACGTCTGACATCAATGTTTCTGTATTCCTTAGGATCAAGATGTGTACTGATATAAATATGGAAAACTTGTATGTTGTACACCATGAAATGGGTCACATTTACTATCAGATGAGTTACGAGAACCTGTCCATCCCACTTCGAGATGGCGCTAATCCAGGTAGAGTATAATGAAAGACCGTTTCTACTATCGCATGCGTTGATTAACACATTCTTCACAGAAAGTAATGAAATATAAAACGTTTAAATAATAAATTAAATAACTTCATGGTTTTTTTCACTTGGGAGAGTAAATATGGTGTTTTCATGACTTTCGAGATATTTATATAAATAAACGCCGACCAATATTATATTTAATATTTGAGATATTTAATTAATTTGAATTGGTGGAGTAAGTGCTTTTCAGGTGTCTTTAGTTGCAAATATCTTTAGCAATCTCTTTCCGATATTTTGTAGGTTTCCATGAGGCTGTTGGGGACACCATAGCGTTATCAGTAGTCACCCCCGAACATTTACACAAGATCAAGCTTCTTGACCAAGTGGAGAATGATATAGGTCAAGTCCTAAACGATAACTTATTTTAGGTTCATAACCAATGAAATGTAAAGATAACACTATCATGGAGAAGTAATGCTTGTAGAGAAAAACAAGAAAAGCTTCCGTAGATACCTGTTGAGAAAGGCTTCCATAGAAACCTGTTGAGAAAGGCTTCCATAGAAACCTATTGAGAAAGGCTTCCATAGAAACCTGTTGAGAACGGCTTCCATAGAAACCTATTGAGAAAGGCTTCCATAGAAACCTGTTGAGAATGGACCAATGCAATCTGTATGGTAAATGTATTTTTGAGGATTTCCTTACAGAATTGTAGTTTGATATTTTTCTTAAAATCCGCTCTTAAACTGCCATTGAATGCAAAGTAAAATCGACGACCTTCATCCCGTTTTCTGATAAATATGCTTCGGAAATCAACATCAATACAATTGTTCTCCAGGAAACGTTTTTAAGCGATGTAATGATAATATGTGGTATACATATGTGTTGTATTACCCAAGGGTTTGGTTGTCTCAAGTGACAAGTAGCTCAAATATAAACTTTTAAAGTAACTAACGTAAATGATGCAACAATGTTTCAATATTTGTAACAAATATTGAATACAAATATTCAGTAATAACGTTGACAAAGTTATTGAAAGAACTTCGATTCCCAAACAAACCAGAATTCATGTTAATCCGTTTCGTTGTCATTCAAAATTCAACGAACAGTCTTTTTTCTACTCCCTTATCACTCAACCTCTATGTAGCAAAATAAATCTATTAGATGATTTATTAAAAAAATTGTCTGACTCTATAATGTATTGCAGAATTAAAATAATGATTTCGACCATTTTAAGTTGCTGTTTTCAATTTTGGTTTTGCTGTGTACTGAGTGTTGTTGGCTGTCTAGTTATAGTATATAGTATATTTCAACCAAGGTTGTTATGATCTCTGTTGAGTAGTGGCCTGAATATAACCTTATGCTTTAAAGAACATATAAACTATCCTCAATATATTGGTTATAAATTAATCTCCCTGAATCGACTCTAAAGCGCGAGATTTCGTAAATGTTATATAAGCAGCTCAAATTCCGGAAATCATGAGCCAATATTGCATGAACGATTTTGTTAAAATATTTTTTTTTTGTACTTGAAACAGAAAGTGACATTAACTTCCTGATGCTGGTTGCGTTAGGTAAGGTCGCATTCCTTCCATTCGGCTTCTCTCTAGATAGTTGGAGGTGGGGTGTGTTAAGAGGGGAAACACCTCCTCATCAATACAACTCTAAGTGGTGGGAATTACGGTGAGTAATGAAAAGAATATAGCTGATGATTTATCAGCTTGCGACATTAAACTGTAAGTAGAGGAATTACGGTAAATGACACTGCTGTTAATTAAAGCTGAATTATATAAAAGGAGCACAAGTTCATCATGCAACACCTTCTATTCACAAATGCTGTAAGTTGGTAAATGGGATTATTATGGAGTTTGAAGACATATTTTGCAAGCCTGTTTGTGCAACTGGCTCCATGGCTTAATACGGAATATACTAGAAACAGAATCATGGATATATCGATGCCTCACCTAGACAGGAAACTCCAAAACACAAATAAAAACTTGTATGTAGTTGGTTCTGCTGATTTCATGCTTTAGTGGGAACTTGGATATTAGGTTCATTTGAAAAGTACAACACTTATTAAATTATTTCACTAAAGCAACAGCTCCATGCACAGCGCTTTTCGATTATGGAGATAACTCGTCCAATCAGAGCTTTGTTGCTCTTTCGAGGAAATTAAGGGTCTTCTGAATTTGAAATGCTGAATTTGGAATTTCCTTGATTAACATTTTTCACGTTCATGTTTCCTATTTCCCAGATGTAAATACCAAGGTGTGTCTCCGCCTGTGGAGAGATCAGATGAAGACTTTGATCCTGGTGCTAAATACCACGTACCTTTCAATGTTCCGTACATCAGGTGAGAAGTGTATATTGCTGATAAAAGTGCTATTCCACACTGAAATCACCTCAATGACACATAGTATGCTCTATTTAGTTAAAAATGGAACAAAATAGCGTCGAGATTTAGTATCTTGAGAACATGTACAGATTAGAACGCCGACTTACATTTATTAATATATATACAATGTACTGAGGACATATGAAGAATTCTTGGTTACACGTGTTTGAAAAAAAAAATGTAATAGTCTCATATACTAAGACAAAAGTTTGATGATATAGTATACACCTGCATTAACATTGCCCAGTTTCAATTGATATTAACATTGCTGGTTATTTCCCAGGTACTTCGTTGCATTCATCTTGCAGTTCCAATTCCAGAAGTCATTGTGCGAGGCTGCAGGACACCAAGGTCCTCTCTATCGCTGTGACATATATAACTCCACTGCCGCTGGTGACAAACTAAGGTATGTGCATGTTATAAACACTAAAGGTGAAAAAATCCAATTTTATAGGACGTACACAAAGGCCGACTATCGACGAACTCAATTTGATACGGATGACAGGTGATAGACTCAGGTGCGACAGATGACAAACACAAGTGTAGAGGTGACAAATGTAATTGATTAGAGGTACGGTTTTTCATATCAGTACAGATAGCATACCAGGGCGGCATTTGATGTCCATTTGATTGACAAACTCATTTGTATACTACGATAAACAATAATTACGGATGTCAATTTCTTCTTTTCTTATTGTGAACTAAAGTATGTTTATTTACTGAACTTAGTATGTGCAGCAACACACATTAATGTGTACAGATGGGAAGCCTGGATGTTCAAAGAATAAATGATGTTTTATACATCAATCTTATTTGTGACGAAACTACAACATTTGCTATATAACCGTTGTTATCGATTAAAAACGATCTGACAAAGAACATTTAGTGAAAGCTGAATCATTATCATCTTATTTTATAGAGAACTACTTGAACTTGGTGCGTCCAAGCCTTGGCCTGATGCATTAGAAATGATGACAGGGCAGCGGAACATGGATGCAAGCGCCTTCTTAGAATACTTTCAACCATTAACTGACTGGCTAAAAACACAGAACAAAAATAAGCGATCTGGATGGATGGATTTGTCGTGCCCCTCGCCGACGTCGGGTTTGATCGACAGCGAGGAGGCAGGCTGGGAGTTTCTGAAGCAGAATGATCAAGCATTTATTACTGTGTTCTCCGAGATGGGGAATGCTGAGTGGGCGTATGCAACCAATATTACCGATTATAACAGTCAACTTAAGGTAGATTGCTTTACCCATGGTCATACATTTAGGATAATACGATACCGTAAAAAACACAAAAGTATAAAAGATTTCTTACATTATAACAAGAATTATTGAAGCAAATTGTATATGGTGTATCGTAGTAAGACAGGGGGCTTGAAAGCAACATGCGAAAGTATAGTTATCAGGCAAAAATACAACTAATTACATACGTATGGGTGTTTTAGTAATAACTCCTAATTTGTATTTTGATCAATGCATGACTTTCTACATTGTGTAACGCTAGAACGACACCATTCATGGAATATACAGCGCAGTATAGTAATTTTATAAAATTAGACGATAAACTAAATAGTTTAAATCATTGTTCTTAATTCATTCGGGTCAGTTAATCGAATACTTCTACAGATGTGATTTCTCAAGACATTGGTTCTCACTAAAATTCTTACGTATTTTTGGATTTTGTAGGTGGAAAGCAATTTGAAATTCGCAGAGTATGAAAAGGTAGCCGTTCGGAATGCAAGTATGTTTGATTGGGAACGCTTTCAAAATCAGACATTACGACGTTTGTTTAAACAGCTTAATTCCACAATTGGCATAAATTCCCTTGAAGACAAAGACAAATTAGGAAAGGTGAGTTATATTTACGAGGAACACAGCTGAAATGTCCTGTCTTTCTTTATGAGAAATTTCGTAAATTTGATGATCTGCGGCACTCAAAAGGCACACGTATCTCATAACGTCGCTATATCAGTTATAAGTTTCTCGGAATATCATAAATATTTTCATTCAAGTAAGATGTTACAGTAAAAATAAGAACAGGGAGCAGATTATTTATTTCCCAGGATATAGAAGATGTTAAATCACATTAGCCAGTGACATATGCCTTATTGTATGCATGTATAATGACAATGTTTACAACTTATCATCAACTTCATATGATGAATGTCACAGTATGCAAACGAAAACAAAGAGCGTTTCTTTTCCTATTTGCCCGAGAAAAAATAAATTAAATTTTTTCCTTTATGTATATTCACAAACAATCTCCCGTGTACAAAACGATAATTGATAAGCTAAGATGATAATATTCTAGCTGTACACATTACATATCAGCAGATCCTAAGCTTTTAATACGTTAATATTTCAGTACAATTCAGTAATCTCCGAAATGAAAGCTATCACTAGTAAGGCTAATGTTTGTCTGTCAGATGGGCAATGTCATCAGATTATGCCAGGTAAGCTAACGAGTTAATTACTCTCACCATATTTAATACAATTGAGACTGGTGATCGGCATGTTAACGAAATGTGTGCGTTTTGTAGCATTTCTTACATTTGCAGTCGTAGATGGTATTTTGTAAAAAAAATATCATCATTCTATGTATTTTTTGGGAATCTCTGACAAAGAATTTTTATGCGCAGTTTTAATTTGTGACAGTGTAACATGTTTTAAGAGATAGTGCCAACATATTTTTTAACTTCAGAATAATAAAGATGAAAACTGTCTTTCGTGCCTGTTCCCTTTATAGGTCTCACTGAGGTGTTTGCCGAGTCCCGTAACTACAGTCTGCTTACTGAAGCATGGGAGAAATGGCGGGATGCAACCGGCCGAAAAATGAAAGATTTGTATCAGGATATGGTTAACATAAGCAACGAGGCCTTTACACAACTAGGTATTTCACACAGATTTCATAAGATGAACATAGATATCATGACGGGGAGAATAGACTGTCGAATGAAGGATCACATTGAGTTTCATTGTAGACAAAAAGTGATGATGTACTCCTGGTATGATTGGCTTCATTTAAATAGTTTGATTTCATATATTTTAAATTTTATTTGAAGTTAACATTGATGGTTTGTTTTGAACATAGGATATGAAGACACCGGGGCTTATTGGAGATCCTGGTATGAATCGCCGAAATTACAGGAACATTTAAAAAACCTATTAATCCAGTTGGAGCCCTTGTATAAAAATCTGCATGCTTATATTCGACGAAAGTTACGTACCTTTTACGGAGAAGAACACTTCCCTTCCTCAGGACATATTCCTGCCCACCTTTTTGGTGAGTCTGTGTGTTTTAACAACTGAGGAAAGATATTTTTGTCTCTAATATAGTACATTCCCTTTTCCTCCAATTCCCTGACTTAAGTAAAATCAAACACCAAACATAAAACAAGGTTGTTATTGTGTTTCAGCTGAGAAGTTAAGATCAATTTTGTTGAAATTCATAAATCAAAACCAGCACCACAAAGCTGCAATGATAATAACTTAAAAATGTTTAATCAAAGAAAGCATTATTGCCAGAAACCACGTGTTTTTTATTTATTGCTATAGGGACGGCGACAGTGCAAGGTTCAGGATTGCGATTTTCTGTGACAGAATTCTTCTCTGAGTTTAAAGCCATCCAGAATCATTGCATGTTAAGCTGCATTATTGAAAATTGAAACAGTAATATGATCTATAAGTTCATGTAAGTGATATTATCTAAAACTCTATTGAATAATTTACCTTTTACTTGACCACGTGTTTCTGCCACCTTCTTCCTGACACGTGTGTGTTATATGAGATGTATGAGGTAGGGTTTTACACGGTCTTCAGTGGCACATATTTCTGTTTACAGGAAACATGTGGGGACAACAATGGAATAATATATACGACCTTGTAGAACCTTTCAAAGGTAAAGCCAGTCTGGACATTACAGCTAAACTTAAAGAACTGGTGAGTTAAAGATAATTAAACATTAGTGTATCACAAATTGTTATTACTTTCTAACATATATATGTGCATATGCGCACCTATATCGGTAATGGGATAATGCTTTGTAACTTTTTAAAAAAAGGTCACATCAGTACATAACACCTTTGAATGCAAATTTGAAATAGTAGATTAGTAGAGCATCATGAAGCTGTTTCGTCCTTCTAGGACTTGACAGTGATGTTAGAGGAGGTGACTGAACTTACAACAAGACGGCCTGTCTATACGATTTTTATGATTAAGAACGTTCTTTTCCTGGATCATGTTTAATTCAGTTGACGACGTCATTTTACAGGATCTGAAACCGTTGAACCTTTTCAAAGTTGCAGAGGAATTCTTCACATCTCTTGGTCTCTTGGAGATGCCGCAGTCATTTTGGGAGGATTCAATGTTCGTCAAGCCTGACGATCGTGATGTTATGTGTCATGCGTCTGCATGGGATTTCCATAATGGAAAAGATTTCAGGTAAAATAAATTCGCATTTCATAAAGAAATACAAACATGCATGTTCTTCTAATGTACCAAGGGGTATATCACTGGATTCAAAGTCTATAATAAGGGAGTTGCTATGTCACCTTAGATTACTTTGTCAAACGTTAGGGTCAGTAGTAGCTGTTGCAACTTGAATCTTTTTTTAAAGCAAGGTACTAATTAATGTTTTGTGTCTGGGGACGTCTGTAAATTATAAAACATAACAGAAAATAACAAAGTACTAGTTGTTATCTCATCATTATATATTCTGCGTATATATCCAATATTGACATGAACTGGAAATAATTAGAGGCGAATTAAGAAAATAAAATTGATTGAAATCTCAAAGCCTCTCTGGTTGGTATTCATACTCAATATGAGTGCAAACTGAAGTGTATGGAAACTTAAATCACGCTTCGGGAAGGTTGTTATTCCTATGACGTATTCTCATAAAGACAATGATGTGATAAATCATACACATATATCGACTTTGAGTCGTAAAAGAGATATTTGTACACTTTTTCATGTAGAATCAAGATGTGTACAAAGGTTGACATGGAGGACTTAATGACTATTCACCACGAGATGGGGCACATTCAGTACTTCTTACTGTATAAGGACCAACCGATTGCATTTAGAAAAGGAGCTAACAATGGTTTCCACGAGGCTGTTGGAGACGTCATGGAACTCTCCGTCTCGACACCAGAACATCTTCACAAAATTGGTTTCCTTGAAGACGTTGTACAGGATACAGGTCTGTAGCAGTACTTGTAAAGAAACCCTCTCTAAAGAAACATAATGAACATAATTCATAATTTTCTCCTGTGTAACCATCGAAATGACGTTCCTATTACTGTTATTTGAAAACAGATTTTTTTTTTCAGAAAACGATATCAATTTCCTAATGTCTATGGCCCTGAAAAAGATCGCATTCCTCCCGTTTGGATATCTGATTGACCAATGGCGGTGGAGTGTGTTTAGTGGAGAGACAACTGCAGACCAATATAATGAAAAGTGGTGGCAATTGAGGTCAGTTAAACTTTACGTACCGTTTTGATAGTGTTAGATACTTGTGTACCATCTTATCATTAGTACGATATTTTATACATCCTATTTAGGTCGATCTACCATTGCAAGTAATCATCCGTGATGTGGAAATTTGAGCTTCAACCATATCTATTTGTTATATATAAATATAAACAAACAAACTAACTAAAAATAGACCAACCAATCCATTTGTCATAATTCTGACGCATCTGTCTATATCTGTGTTGTGTATATCCTTCGGATAATCCTCTGGGATATGTACATATAACAATCAACTTTGGACTATTTGGTATTTACCGGTTGAGTTGCTTTTTGAAGTATTTTGATTATGCAATACGAAGTAGCGGAAAATCAATTTTATTTTGCGTTCCAAGGTTCACAAAATCAAGCGAAGTGAACATGTCGACGTCGTAATCATCATAAGTTTTATTCAATGTACTGTTACTTTTTTACCTAACAGGTGTAAACTACAAGGAATGTCACCTCCAACCTCCAGGTCTTCAGATGACTTTGATCCTGGTGCTAAATACCATGTCGCGTCAAACACTGCCTACATCAGGTGAAAGGTGTATTGGATGTTTAGATCAAGGGTCGATATTGATGGTTGTAGCCATATTGAATTTCATATTGAATTATGAACATTTGAGTAACGAGATCAACAATATGTTATTGTTCTTTTAAGGCCTTATTTATTTGTACACAAAAGTGTATCCGATTATAATATATCTAAGATGTTTTAAATGGTTCGCCAATAGTGTAAGCATTTGAATACTAATTCTTGAAAAATATTTTAACTGACAATGATTTAATTTACTTCGATTATCTATTTCAGGTACTTTGTTAGTTTTGTGTTACAGTTTCAATTCCATAAAGCTTTATGTACTGCTGCTGGGAAAACAGGACCATTGCACCGCTGCGATATATACCAGTCTGAAGAAGCAGGTAAACTCTTACGGTAAGCATAGTAACCACAATATTCATAAAGGATAAACAATAAGCACGCGATTGAATCTGGAATCATAAAATTCTTCAATAAAAAGTGGCACAAGAAAGTCTTTTGGCTTTTTCTTGACTTATTTGGTAATGACTAGTAAAATATCATCATTACAAAGTATGTTTTTCCTAACAAACCAAATGATGTCTATGCAAAATTTGCTGCTACCTCCCTTATCAATAAAAACATTAGATGAACATTTTCCAATTCTAATGTGATCAGAGTAATTTTAATTAAATTACATGTATATTGATATTACATATTTGGTTATATAGCTGATATTGATTATAATTTTTTCGATATGTCTTTAATTTGTTCATGCATTTATTTTTTTTATAAATGTTTCTAGTGTAAAATACCCTGGAACGTTCTTCATTGACTGCACTTGTCAAATGCCAGTTGTAATGTCCTAATAGAGACAACGTCGTACGTAATGTGTTGAAAATTGCGCAACAAAACTGCTGCCTCATTTTGATTTTTGCCTTAATATTTTCACTTTAACACTTGCCGAAATGTAACTTTTTTGAGTTATGTGATGGAATTATCTTCAATTTATTTTCATTTCACATGCGGTTTCATGTAACTAGTCACGAAGTTGTAATCTATAAAAGTAAAGAATTCTAAGGCTCTCTTCATGAAATCTTGTATAACTTTTGATTTACAGAGATATGCTTGCACTTGGTGCTTCACAACCTTGGCAAGATGCTATGGAAAAAATTACTGGCCAACGCGAAATGAGCGCTGAACCACTCATGGAATATTTTAAGCCTCTAACTGACTGGCTGATAGAACAGAATCAGAATGATACTGTTGGTTGGTTGGATGAATGCCCACAAGAAAAACCCGAGCTTATCAACGATGCTGAGCAAGCCAAGGAATGGCTAATGCTTTTTGACAAGGAAGGGCAGAAAGCTGATGCGTATTACATGTCAGCCCACTGGAACTACGCCACAAATATCACTGACTACAACCAGCAGAGACAGGTTGATATGGCCGAATGGCTACTGTACTTACATTGTGTAATTTACAAAGGTCATATTTATTTTGATCCCACTTACTTCTATTGAATGTATATTATTTTTAATGTTAGCATTTGCATAAGAACTCGATTGTCAGAGTATTACATATATATATAGCGCAAAATATGATTTGGTTCAATATCAGTTTTATTTTCTATTTGTGATCTTCAATATTACGGATTAAATTTTCAGATTTTCTCTTCTAGGTTGAAGCAAGCTTGGCTAGATCAGACTTTGGCAGAAGTGCCGCCATTAACGGCTCAATGTATAACTGGAAAAACTTCTCTGATCCGATGATTAGGAAAATATTCGCCCTGATTGTTGACCAGGGTACCTCTATAAAGGACAAAGAGAAAGCCAAGGAGGTACAGTAATGTTGCAAGAACGATTCTTCATGATACGAAAATCTTTGCTATCTTAATTAAAATGAAACAAATATGATAAGTTGTGTGTTGCATGAAACTTCTACATGCTTGAACGACATATTTCAATAGAGTTTATATCACAATATAGATTATACTTTAGTGAATCAGTGGATTGTAGGAAATTTGTATGAGTAAAATAAAAAAAAATGTTTGGGTAGTACTCTCAGTTAAATGACTTAGTGACGTAGAATTGGTTATCATTGTGAACTAATGCTCATAGTAGATGTCATAATAAATCAAATTTCAGAGGCAAAACGTTTCTGTGATGCAACTGCAGTGTAAGACATACATTTTTGTAGAGTAGCCGTAGTATGGGTGGTAGGTTTTGATAGAAAAAATACATACTGACAAATCATCATTATTATAATTCGGTATTTTGATAGACGCTTCCGTTTTAGCTAAAAAACTGTTATGTTTTCGAAATCCCAAATACGGCTAATGTCTAATGTCTTTGTAAATACTTCCATTTTTAATCTTTAAAATTGAAATTTGAAAGTGCACGCTCTCGACCACACCTGATATGGAAAGACATATTAGAATGATTACTATTAAGATAATAAACACCCAAATTACTTATCTTAGCGCAGTAACCTGATGGCAGAACTTGAGTCCATTTATGCAAAAGCTCAAGTTTGTCTTACAGAAGACCAATGTCTGGAAATGGATCCAGGTAAGACATTTACATACATGTCAATGACACCTGCCAGTTACACCTGAATTGTTACCATTAAAGCCTGTCGTTAGGTTCAGACACACGGTGTTTAGACGTAAAGGAGTATCGGTCGTCTCCGATTGCGATTGCATATTTTTAGATTGTCATGGTCTGATAACATATCAGTTTCTCTAAAAATGAAAAAAAAAAGATAATTGACCTTCAGTGAATCAGCAAATCCTTTACTCTGTACAGTTTATATTATAAGCATTTGGATTGTCTTGATGTCATATGACAATATTACGATAATCCGTCTTTTATTTAATACATGGATGCCAGTTGTTCATATTGCAGAAAATGTGTGATCGTTAGTGTTTCCATTTGTCCACCTTAGGGAGAGGGCTTAAATAGACTTTAGCCTGTTGACAGTTACCCAATGATTTTTTTTTATAAAATCTGTAAGAAACGAACTTTGAGAGCAAGGTTCATAATTGTAGTCGCTTTCCCTTCATACTAATGCGTTTTATTGTCTTTACAGATTTAAAAAATCTGATTGCAACTTCAAGGGACCAGGCAGAACTTTCACAAGCTTGGAAATTATGGCGGGATGCGACAGGTCGCAATATGAAGGACAAGTACGCTCGATTTGTGGAGTTGAGTAATGAGGGAGCAAGAGAGAATGGTAACATTTTGTGACGTACGGTGAAGGACCATTAGGAGTAATTTACAATCTAACCACTGGTACATTGTGTACATCAGTGATCCATGAAAGAGTTAACTTAAATTTCTTTTACATCAAAATGAAAAAACAACATCAAATATTTATTAAACAGAGTAATATACTACATGTGTATATGTAACAATGTCTTCAATTTCTCTTCCTTTGGTTATGACAAAAGTCACATGTTTTTGGTGAGTTTGATGGTACATTTATACCTCTATATTGGTATTTAGGTTACAGTGATACCGGCGAGTACTGGCGTTCGTGGTATGAAACACCAAGTTTCCGTGACGACTTGGTTGAATTACTGGATAAGCTACAGGTGCTATACCTTCAGCTCCATACATACGTTAAAGGAAAGTTAGTGGAATATTATGGATCAGAACATTTTCCACGGTCAGGCCACATTCCATCTCATCTTTTAGGTAGAGTATAATGGAATAGATTTTCTAACTTATACCAATAGCAATCAACACATTTGTTGGTCATTATAACTGACCTACACAAACTTACTATTTACGACCTTTTTAATGGACAACAAAACAATGAAGTTGTATTGAATGAAATATGAATATCTCTTTCTGGCTCTTTTCACGAGACATTTTATGTATCTATATTTTAATTCAAATTCATGTTGAAACATCCTATTGTACAAAACTTTACATTACGACTCTTGAAGTTTTCCCTTTTCAACAAAAACATTTAGATATATCAATATGTTTTGATTTTAATTTAGGTGACATGTGGGGACAGAACTGGAAAGACATTTACGACATAGTGCAGCCTTTTAAAGATCAAGCGGTTCCAGATATTACTAAGGCCATGTTAGAAAAGGTAACTGAGTCAGAGACCGCCTGAGTTGTTTGATGATTGCACATTCACTCTTCTGTGATTTGGGGAAATTTACTGAAGAACAGTTGAAATGTCAAGTAAATTCACACTGATAAGCCCTTCCATCCCTAACAGGAAAATACAAACGAAAATATGGTTCAATTAGATTTATTTTTTCCTCAATATAACAAACAATATATATCAACATAATTAATCAGAAATGATATGTGTATTATTTTCACTTTTCTAGAACATTACAGTGAAGCAAATGTTCAAACTTTCTGAAGAGTTCTTTGTGTCACTCAATTTGTCTGCCATGCCGCTGTCATTTTGGGAAAACTCAATGTTAGAACGGCCGACGGATGGCAGAGATGTAGTATGTCATGCGTCTGCTTGGGATTTCGGAAACGGCAAGGACTTCAGGTACCGGCTTGTATTTCTTGATATTTCAATATACCGTTACATCGAATGATCGAAGACATGCTTATTACATTTAACTTGTTGGGTGTTATTAATAGCGATGTGAATATCTATGCTCTGAAACAAACAAAAATACAAGATGATTGCTTCTTTTGTTGTTATTAGTAATGATAATGCCATTTCATTATTAAAGATATCTGTAAAGATGTTCTGTGTCTCTATTTTTCAAATAAACACTTACCATTAGATGCAACTGGCACCAATTTAGATCCACTTTGATTTTTATTCATGAAGGTGCTACAAATACACTGAACTACTTACGTATATCATTTATTTCCTGTTCATTCAAAATATCTATACCCTGTCATTGCCTTAGGATGTTTTATTTCATGATGAAATGGCTCTTTTTAATATGGATGAACATTCTTTCAAATTTGTTCATTAAAAACAAAATACCAAAACCGAAGAAGCTTTGCTTTAAGTATTTAAATAATGCACACAGTTTCCTCTAATTACAGAGTATTCAAAATAGAATGTGATTTAAGTGTATCCGAAAATGTCAATAATAAGGGATTTCAATTTCATATGATGTCACAGTTTTTTCACTAATTGGGTACGAACAGGATGTCCCTTGCATTCGGTCATTGGTTATGACGATTAAATGATGAAAACAGCAACACGATATTCTAGTAGAGCATCATTACAGTAAAACTTGATCAAAACTATATTTTGGTCGGGTGTTTTAAGACGTAAGGGGAATATATACCTAGATGCTACGTTTCATAAACTTATATGAAAGTAGTTGAATGTGAAACTAAAGCGAAAAAAGGGAGCGTCACATTATATTTCGAACTGATGAAAACTGTTGACAGTGATGTAAGGAAGATCCATTTTTCGCGAACAGTAATAATTCCAACTACAATCCATTGTGAATGAATGTAAAATAGTGGAAATGAACGTTTTCTCTGTTCATTTGTAAAATATTTTCAGAATAAAAATGTGTACAGATGTATCGATTGATACGTTCCAAGTTATCCATCATGAAATGGGTCACATCCAGTATTATCTGCAATACAAGCACCTGCCATGGGTATTCAGAGCAGGAGCAAATCCAGGTAAAAATCTGATTTTTACCCTTTTCTTTAGACATATTTTGTTTTGAAATACCATTAGTTATCTAAAACAAGATGTGTGCAATTATGAATGATATTATTTCATGATAAAATTTATTATAAAAATATTGAGTGAAAAATGGTGTAAGTTACATATCAAATCAATAATATAATGTAATTTACATCTTTCAAATATTAGATATAATTTTGGTCATGTTATTCCGGTCATTGGGTCAAAACCTTACAATATTTTTTTTCAAATTTTAAAGTCAGTTACAGACGTTATGCTGTAGTTCGTGATTTGTTATCAAGACATTTATATCGATGTTTGACATGTCTGTCAAATAAAGATAAATTGCCGTCTCTATCGAAGTTTTATTCATACGACTACAGATAAATATCTTCTTTTATATATATATATTTTCAGGTTTTCATGAAGCTGTAGGTGATGTTATGGCTATGTCTGTTTTAACTCCAGCTCATCTCAACAAGCTCGGTCTACTGGATACGGTTGAAAACAATTTTGGTAAAGTGTAGATTTTCAATTTTGCAAAATAATATGTATACCCTTAAATTTCGAAATCAAGCCGACCACAAACATAAGTCTGTTTTATACATAAGGAACTTGCATTTGCATTTTAAAAGAAATTAGCCTAAGTTTGAATTGTTTTGAGTTTTGAGGGTATTTGAATGAATATCATTTGAAGATAGCAACTTAAAATATAATTTATTTCTTAGATATTTTATGTGTGTTCCTATTCTTAAGTTTCAACTTAAATTCTAACATCCATTATAAATACCTTACAAGTTATCTATATGAAATACATTTATGCAATTAAATCATAATGATAATAATTAGTATTTAAATATTGTCATTTCAACATCTTGCCAACGTACTTGATTTTATGTCAACAACCATTTATCAAGTTAACGGATCATAATTAGGATTCTGTATTGTATCCTCTAGAAAGAATGGGGGACCTCACAGATACTTTGCAATTTGATAGGATCTTTATTGCAAATACAAAACAACACGAATTTTGATGATAAAACTCATATGCCATATGTTTTCGAAGATAAATTGAATATAGTTTCCACTTTATCCCTAACGCATTGCTCTTCGCATGATAACTGGTGGTTTATATTATAGTATAGTGTAGAATTCATCATAGCAATTTTTTGTTTTACATATGCATTTAAAAGTTCAATTTGTAAAGATGTAATGTCAGTATTTATCTAGTGAAATTAAAGTTGATCGTGGAAATATAACAATGGCACTACCAATGTGCAAGCCAAATGTACAATCGCACTGATATGAATGTTTTTGTTATAGAGAGTGATATAAATTTCCTGATGTCAATGGCTTTGGAAAAGATTGCATTCCTTCCATTTGGATATTTGATTGATCAGTGGCGCTGGAGTGTATTTAGTGGGGAGACACCTCCAGATAAATATAATGAGAAATGGTGGGATCTGAGGTGACTATATCTGCAGTATAAGAGACGAAGTGTTTCAAACTATAGCCATCTTATACTGTGTATTATTATGTTGATGGTTTCATGAAAAAAAAAAAAAAAAAACAACAACAAAAACAAAAACAAAAAAAATCTAACAAAACAATCCCCTAAAAACAAAAGCAAAAAAGGTTTTTGGAGAAATAATAACACTAACTAACTAACAAATGTTGAACTTTCAAAATTTGAAAATATGTCAATATTTGACACAAAATTAAAACTTATTACCTTAAACTAAAATGAAATTAAACGGTCAGTTTATTGGCATTCTTTACAGGTGTAAATACCAAGGTGTTTCTCCTCCTGTCGCACGAACTGAAGAGGACTTTGACCCTGGATCTAAATACCATGTACCTGGTAACACACCCTACATAAGGTAATTGGCAAACAGTCCCGATTTAAGATCCCGCAGTTTAGGTAAATGCTTCCACGATCCAAAGATATTATGTTTTTTCTTAACTCAGCTGGCCTGAAAGGCAATATGATCATACGGTATAGTGCAGTTTCTGTCGTCCGCCGATATGACTGTTTGCTGCAAATGGCTTAAGGTACATATCCGAAAGTCTTCTCTTTCATGTATGGATTACAGGAGTTGGTCCTTAATAAGTCCAAACATCAATTTTGTGTACCCTGTGGGCCCTCAGTTGGGTGTCAAATGTGAAAAAAAAACTGTCTAAATCTTTTTAGCGAAGTAATATCAAGGTTTAATCCAAATTTAGTCTGGAATATCACATTCAAGGTTTGTATATTCACACAATCAGACAGAATCATTTCGTTTCCTGTATACAAAACATTACTATTACCACAAGGTTGTTTAAGTGTTCGCTACAGGCTTAATGAGCATCTTGGTTTTTATTACTTTACTACCGCACTATAACGTGAAAAGCGCCTCAGGTGAAGCCTTAACAGACTGAATGGAAACGTACGTTAATATCATATACTAGATTGACTTTACAACTTTCATGTGATGTAAACTATTTTCGCCCCCAAATTGTAAGACAGGGCATATTATCTGACATTTAATCGATTCGTTTTCTTGTACAGGTATTTCATTAGTCATGTGATAGAATTCCAGTTCCACAAGGCCCTCTGTGACGCAGCCGGACACACAGGTCCTCTTCACACATGTGACATATACCAGTCTAAGGAAGCTGGCAAAATTCTGGGGTAGGTAAACCTTACACTTGGGTAACAAATACCAGACTAAGGAAGCTTGCAAATCATTGCGGTGACTTTTTACTGCTTGTGTGTAACAAATACCAGTCCTAGAAACTTGGATCTGACTGAATATTCACCGCTTGCATGAAAAATTTAATAGCCCAAAGAAGCTAATAAATTTATTTGGCGAGTATATGGTGCATCTAGTCGTCTTTTGTCAATTTTCCAATGTTTCACTTTGTTATAGCATTTAAGGATCAAAACACGTGCTATCAGAATAGAAAACCAGGCAAACAATAATGGTTCATAGTTTAGGAAGACATTGAAAAGAAGATGTATTCTTGCCGTATAACTCACTTTTGAGTTTTTGAATGATCTAAAATAAAATATTTTCGCGGGTATACTAATAACAGCAGTCACCGTCGATAGAAAATAAAACATTGCATGCTACAAAAAACACAAATTGTCTCTTTTAGGACACGTTATTTTCAAGTCATCTTGATACCTGTGAACGTGTCCTGGAATCAGATTTATATAAGAACTGGAAATTTATGTTTTTGCCTATGTCGTCAATTCAAAACGGATTTCATTTGATAAGATTTAACTTGAAGATTTGATTTCGCACATTTATACAGTGACATGCTTAGACTAGGATCATCGGAACCTTGGCAGGTTGCCATGGAAGCAATCACAGGTCAGAGGTCAATGAGTGTGGAGCCAATCATAGCTTACTTTCAACCTCTTATTGATTGGTTGGCTGCTCAGAACGTTGGTAAACAGACTGGATGGTTGGACACGTGTCAGCTTCCACGTTCAAGCCTAATAAACGACGAAGAGCGTGCAAGAGCATGGTTGAAAAATTACAACGAAGAAGTTGAACCGAAGTATCATCAGGTTTCGGAACTGGAATGGGAATATCTACACTATCTTGATTCTTCGAAGGCTAGGACTGATTTTGTAGGTTCTTAAAAACTCTGAAATACATAAAGTATTGATAAATTATTCCTACAGAACTGAACTTCGTAGATTAAATAGTGTAAGGAATGAGTCTTGATTAGATTTTATTGACGAATGATCCTAAAATATAAAAAAAATACATAGTCAAAAATAATTAAATGTGACTAAAATTTTCTCGATGACATAGAATTTAGAATGACCAGATTAGTGCATTTGTTTATTAAACTCTCTCTCTCTCTCTCTCTCTCTCTCTCTCTCTCTCTCTCTCATCGTCTACTGACGAACAATCTTTGAGATATGTATGATAGATGTATAGAACAACTTTATGTTTTTTTAGGAAGAAACTCGGAAGGTCTTAGCAAATTTCAATAAACAAGCCTGGTTAAATGCATCTACATTTGATTGGGAAGATTTCCAAGATGAAGAATTGCAACGTCAGTTTCGATTTGTAAGGGAGAATGTTGGCATGGATGCTCTAGCAGATCCAAAGAAGCAGGAAAAGGTTATACAACTTTATCTTTTCGTTTCCAGTTATTCACCAATGATTGCATATTCATATCACTAATGATCCAATAAAATTCAAAGTAGGATTTAATATAAATGTTTTTAGCAATAAAGTAGAGTAATGTCATGTATATGGCTATATAAAGTTCTGTTTTTGATTTAAAACAAAAAAATATTAAAGGATGTACTTGAATGATTATGTGTTAGTATAGTTACCATTTTAGTTTGATCTTCGTTATTCTAACTGTAAAAAAATAATAATCCGGAAAAAAACTTTCAACTTCCTTTTGGGGACACTGACGTCAGGTAAACACATTGGAAAAACTAGCACTCTTTTTCATTAAGAGTCTGACGAAAATGATAATAATGTCTTTCAGGAAGTAACTTAACAGTTTATTGAATCCGATTGTCATTCAAAACATTTTTTGAAACAATATTTCCCATATATTCCATTTTGGCAACTTTTTTCGTTAATTCCATGAATTAATTTCACTAATGAGGATCAAATAATATGAATGTCCTTAGTTTGCAATCAAAGACTTGAAAATTATATTCTGATCGTTTGCATTTGTAAAATACGTAGACGGTTTTCCAACGGTTGCTTGCATTACAGTAATTTTATGTAAATTCCATACTTTACAGCTTCATACCCTGATCAGCGACTTTAAACTCTCAACGGCTTCAGGTACGAAATAAGAAGATACTGAAGTACGGTTAGGCAGAAAAATAACAATAGTTTAACCTTAACGAAAAGCTTGCATCATTCATTCTAACTAAAAGATAAGATATATGTACATTGTACCCTGTTGATATTCATTAGAAACATCAAACATTAATATAGCTACTCGGTACTCCACCAGGATGTGTGAACAATTATCATTGAAGGAAGTTGGTGTACATATCTATCACATATACCTTTTTTATAGATAAAGTTTTTCGTATTTCTGACAGATAATTTGAAGAAGTCATTGGCTACCTGTAGAAACTACACCCAACTCAATACTATATGGCAGTCTGCCCAGCGAACTGACCTTAATAACGCCACGAACAAATATGCAGAGATTGTCGAACTCAGCAATGAAGCAGTTAGGGAGTTGGGTAATCCTAAAACTTTATTTATCTAAAATACATTACTTATGTGAGGAACAAGAACAGATTACATAAAACATTTGTATGATAGGATTTTATGTACTTAAATCTTTAAACAGATTCCATCTAAATAAGCGTTTTCATTCTGCACTGCTATGTTTTGACATTTGGCGAATCCTCAATCCAAATTAGTTATTGATGGATTGTATGCAATGTAACTTAAGCGTCACATGCTATGTTTCTTTGTATGACCTCAGGTTTCATGGGTACAGTCGAATTTTGGAAAAGTCGTTATGACAGCACTACATTCCAGCAGGACTTGGAGGGATTGTGGAAGCAAGTGAAACCGTTATACCAGGAATTGCATTGTTTTGTCAGGAAACAGTTGAGAAAAATGTATGGAAGTGAACAATTCCCGTTGTCTGGACAAATTCCAGCTCATATTTTAGGTAAGATATGGCGCGAAAAATGTCCAAATTACAAGAACAAACACCAAGAAAATATTTTTATAACGAGGCAAAGATAAATTTCTTTCAATTGACATTTAACATTATCGTCAGTAAGTCTTTAAATGCCTGAAATAGTCAAACCTTTTCTTTTGATTCATATTTTACTTTTGAAAATTATTTGTTTTAGGGAACTTGATGGGTGATAATTGGGAGAAACTATACGACGTACTGATGCCGTATAAAGACACAAGTGGTGCTGACATAACATCAGTTCTGCAAGCAAAGGTAGAAATGGCAATTCCAGAATATCTCTACAAGTCAATCGTTATAATTTTCCATTAATTAAGTTTTTGGTCTTGGCGTAGCTGAAGTTAATGTTGATTAATTTCTAAATGCAAAAGTATGCAATATTATTTAAAATAAAGTTTAAACAGTTATAACTTATGTTATAACATTATTTCTTGGTGGTTATCGGATTAAAGGTTATTTTTTAGCAAACTTCAAATTTAAGAATGGAAATGATGTAGATATAACTGAAAATCTGATTTTGTAAACAATACTAAAAGACTAGTCTGATACATTCTATGCTCCTAGAATTCTTATTTAGAAGTATATCCGATGCTTCCTAGACAAATCTATATCAAGGATTTTACAAAAACACACAAATGAATAGCACCATTTAATGCAGCTAGAAACAGTAGAGTTTAACTAATTTGAATTAAACTACATCACACAGCTGTTTCGTCCATCTAAGGACTTACATTTTAAACCTAGGAGTCGACATAGGAAAACCCAAAGTGATCGAGAGAAGTGAAAAATCTAGATGGGATGGTGCACTAGCCCGGTAATAAAGTTAGTTCCGTAAATTTCATTTCTGACAATCTAAGAGGAAAGTCGAGTACATGTGTATAATCGTATGGTATCAAAATGTGGCATGCACGTTACGGCAAACCTCGGAGACTAATAGTCCACCGTCAATGCCTTTCTTAAAGATTTTACAAAAGCCACACAAGTGGATAATACCATTTAATATTAATTTAGAATTAGAGGCAGACAATGCGTTAAGCTGCATCATACAACTGTTTCGTACTGGGACTCATCAGTGAGGATAATCCATAATCATCTGAAGAGATGTGAAAATTTATATTGGAGGTGCAATAGGGGTGTGACTGACGTTGACGTTAATGAAGATATCATTAAGAATATATACGATGTTAGTTTAGAAGTTCTGGATGTATCGTTGGCGTTTGTATTGTAACTGATCTCTCGGCCAGTAAGTCTGACTTCAAACTGCAACAAGTGTTTAGTTACACATGATCTCATGTGTAGACGGAAATGATTCGTTGTGTTTGTTATGACATTTTCATATATTATATGGCCTATTAGTTTATATCAATCCAATATCAACAAATGAATCAGAGACTGATGCAATTTAACAAGAAGTCGATGTCAACTTCATTACTTTTTGGGGATTTTGCCAGATATAACTGTAATCAACTTTTTTTCTCGCTGATTTACAGAATTACACAACGGAAATGATGCTCCGTCAAGCTGAGGACTTTTTCGTTTCTATTGGACTTCCAAAGCTCCCCGACTCGTTTCGGGCAAATTCAATATTCAAACAACGTTCTGGAAGTCAAAATGATAATTGTAATCCTATGTTTGTAAATCTCGTTTCTAATGATATCAGGTAAGAACCAGGATTTCCAACAATATATAATATTGGTTAATAATATATCAAAACCAAGCGGTATATTTAAATTTTGTCGGCTCGGAATCAATATGTTCTTATTTCTTACAGGATAGCGGGAAGTATTCTTCAAGCAAATGCTAGAATGCCAACGAGTACATTTTATTCTTTATTTTTGTTTTCAGTTTTGATGTTAAATATGAAACAAATGTACCAAAAATAACGTAATACTCTTCTGCAAACTTGCTTGCCATTTGCTATTAAGCAATATAAAAACGGTTGTCTTTCTACAGAATAAGCATATGTACAGATGTCAATTTGGAAAACTTTGTGACTGCTCATGAGTTGTTGGCACGCGTCCAGTACTCTAAGGCATATGACATGCAGCCGTTTACACTCAAAGGGCCAGCAAACCCAGGTCAGAATTATTATTAGCCTCGTCTTTAATATGTTAGACAATCCAAAAAATCATCAAGAAAATACAAACATGGCAACATTATTCAAACTCACATTACTTGAAACTAGGGCAAAATATGAGCAAAGAAAGATCAAATCTTGGTGGATGTAAATAAGTAATGTCACGTTCTTAAAGGAGAACAATGTATTCAACAATGGAACCAACAGGCAAACTAACGAGTATCAAACACGTCAAGCTTCATTTCTCACAAAGAAATAGAATATTTCTCAATAGATCACTAAGGCGACCATATAGCTTTCCAATAATTTTCATCAGCCTTCATCTTTTGAACCCTTGAATACTACTTTGATTAATGTAGTAATTATGTTCTTAATCTTTTTCTAATGTAACAAATTGATTTCTTCATTTCATGTAATTCTAACAACGTTATAGAAAAAAGCAAGAGGATAGAGTATCAGACAAAGGCCATACAAAAATACTTATAACGCATATCAATGTCCTCTCCGGATGTAGGTTTTTTTCATTAAACCTTTCAGTGTTAATAATGTATTCAGATAGAAATTTTAATGAAATGAATTACAAACTTGACATCAGAAAATCGTTTTTATTTGATGAATAACTCATCGACTTTTCATATGTTGTTGACAGTAAGATACCTTCGGCCTTTCCAGTCATTTTGTTTCCTAATACTTTCATTTTGCTTAGCAAACAAGATTTGAGACATTGTTTTGCCAACATGCTCGTGTTATTTTGTATCACAGGTTTTGATGAAGCTGTAGCAAGTCTCGTGGGATTGTCTGCCTCTTCACCCAAATATTTCCATGACATTGGACTTCTAGAGAATCCAGCTGACACAACAGGTCCTAAATCACATAATATTGACAATACTGTGTTTTTTACGATTAATTTCAATCCCATGAAAGTAATCTCATTTATTTAAACTATTGATCAAGTTCTGTCATCTTCCGTATTGTTAATTCGATTTTCATGGTAAAGATGCTTATGAGCTAGGTAAAAGGGGAAAAACCCTTTACTTTTGTTTATGTTTTGACTGGAACATATATACTGTTGTTATTTTATAAGAATGTTTGTGTGTTTCAGAAGAATCACTGAATTTCTTGATGAAACAAGGTCTTAAAATGATACCGTCACTTCCTTTTGGATATCTGATTGATCAATGGCAAATTAGTGCGTATAAAAGGGAAACGCTTCCAGAAAAATATAATGCAAAGTGGTGGAAGCTCAGGTAAAGGAACGGATAAATCTAACTCAGACTGTTATAATTTACCTACGTTTTCACGATAGGTAATGTCAATGAAACAGAATTCACCAGTCTCGAAAATTTTATCTTATTCCTCTGGCACATTTTGTACTTTTTAATTTAATTATAATGATATTTCCCATGGTTTCTCTATTTTTGGTTATTCTTTAATTGTTTTATAGGGGGATCATAACTATTTTATTCGTCTTTACGTTAATCGATGTTAAAGAATAATATTTGCTTTTCTGAAGGGAAAACCTTACATTAATACTCCACAGGAATAAATACCAAGGGTTATCTCCTCCTAAGGATGAAGTGGATGCCGGTGTTTTCTACCCAGGAACTGGAGATAATGGAAATGTTGCCATGCCATATGTCAGGTAGTAATATACTTCTCTTTTATTCATTCGAGTTGAAAAAGTGATCGCCTTCTGCCGCAAATTTATTTACATGTAAAGATGAGAATAAAGCGATCCTCGTTATCTAAAGGACCACGTCGTTTAGCCGAAAACAATGTTTTCAGTTTTGATAGATTCCTTAAAGCATAGTTTGTAAATATCGACAATACACATACAAAAACCGATTGACATTTGCGCAAAACATTCATGCTGGTGCTTTTTTCCAAACAGGTACTTTGTTGGAACAGTGATCGCGTTCCAGCTACATGAAGGACTATGTATGGAGGCGGGACACACTGGTCCTTTACACGAATGCGACATTCATCACTCACGAAAATCTGGAGCTCTGTTGATGTAAGGAGACTACTGAACATAGAGGAAATAAATTGTGTCTGTCAAAATCATCATTGGACAGACATTCTGCTGAATAAGCAAGAATCTGTCATTTTAGTATCATAAACATGGCTTCCTGTCAAGAAGGACTCAATTGGTATGGCCATTGTCCAATACCATTTTTTTGTCATAAGATCATAGGATTATTAATCAAAGAATACAAATTTTTTATCAACTATTTTCTCCGCATCAATCAAATCCAAAGTCTGGACTGGCCTCCTATGGATTGCGACAATATACATATTGATATATTACCTTGTGTTGCTTTTATATTTATCAAGAAATATGTGGCTGAATAAACATGTATTTTTACTGATTTTCTTATTTGCCCTAAGGATAATTGTTTCCATTTATTGTGCTGTATATTGGACCAATCAAACCAATGTAAAGGGTCGTCCTGACATGTTCATTGGAATTAGTTTCCAAAGTTCAGCGATTCCGTTGTTTACCTAGTTCTTATTTGAAATTATGCCATTACATACCTGGATTGATTAATATCTAAATAATATGTGTCGTCGTTGACGTAGAATACCCTTCCGGAACACCTAGTCTCATTCTCCTTGTATTTATTCAGGGGTCTCCGTCTAAAGCTTTTTTTTTCTTTTCTTGGTAAACGTCTATGACGTGAGAAATTCTCTAGCAACCGACGAAACATTGAATAATAGCCAAGTATATCAATTTTCTTTGCTAAATATGTTTTACGTAAATACAACGACGTTGGTGCTATCAATGCTGTATTTACGGAAGCAAGGAGAATTTATTAAACATGTTAAAAATGACCTTATAATATATTCAGTCTTGCAAACTATGTTATTTATGTTAAAATTTATCCTTCCACAGGCAAATGTTAGAATCAGGTCGATCACTACAATGGCAAGATATTCTAGAAATGTTGACAGATCAGCGGAGGATGAATGCTTCATCACTGGTCAGATATTTCGAACCACTTTACGATTGGCTAAAAGATCAAAACAAGGGCCAAACAGTTGGTTGGAATGACGACTATTTTCCCATGACAATTGAGGAAAGGACAGATGTTTTGTTGAAGTCTTTCATTCATGAAGCGGAAGCTGTGTATATGAAAGAAAAACTTGCCCAGTGGGATTACAGTGTGAATATCACCGCTAAAACAGAGGCACGAAAGGTAATGTCGGTAATAATAGTCGTACATTAGGTATCACTATTTCAGCGTCACACTACCATAGCAAGATGATTGAAGTTTTAATTACACTCATAAGACGGAATTAACTTGAGTAAGATTAAGGTAATGTCTGATTTAAGATATCTGGAATCTATAAAAAAAAAAAAAAAAAAAACCCAAAATGAGCCATGTTTTGTTATTTTACTTAGATTTTGTAAATACACATAACAGGTTTTACAATTGCTGGCAAACACACTTTATTCATTAGGAAATATAGACAAATATAAATGGCACCTTTAACAAATCATAATACATCATTAACAGTGCATCTCAAATTATGTCTTCTTACAACTTATCTGTGATAGACTGTCTTGGGTAAGAAATAATAAAAAAAAATTATTTGCACTTTTTAGTTTTATATCTTAATTATATAAACCTGAACCTGAGGCAAACAACCGTCCCTTACAAGATAATACAAAAGGCACACGTGCAATTGGCATCTTTAATACAAATATATATAAGTTGAAGGAAAGAAAAACACTGAATTATACTGCATCATATAGCTGTTTCGTCCTTCTGGGACTCGTCAGTGATGCTAAAGGTCTAATTTGTAAATCTCGGTTGCCTCCTAGGTTCGAAATCTAGGCCCTTAGACCAACTATTCAGGTCGATTCTCCTATATCTTTTCTAGCTTCTCTTCACTTGTGTGTCTTTTGTGCAGACTACTTCATATAACTTTGTAGATCACTTCTGAAATGGACACTGCAGAATTTGAAAAACAGTCAGCAGAAGAGATAACTACTATACCTTGGGAAGACCTAAAGGATGATTACAAAAAAAGGCAGCTGAAGAAGATTACAGATATTGGAACAAATATAATGAATAATACAATGAAGCTTAAACGGGTAAACACTCAAACAAAATTCAATGCCAAAGAAACGCTTTTACGTTTTGATTGAGATCTTGATCGTAAATCTATAATATTGGCACAGACATTGACTTCGGAGAAATTCTATATTTTCGTCTTTCCTCAAGCGGTCATCAAAAGGAAAGCAATATAAAAGCCTAGTTTTATCCATGGATTAGTTATAACTTAACTGTGTATTTAAGCTCTCTGGAATTGATAGACACCGACCTAGCAGTAACATGAAAATGCAAAGACGCTAATGAGTGTTATTAATCTGCAAATTAATATCAACTGAGTCACTGGGATCATAGTATTCTAGCTTAGTTTTTTATTTACTCACATCTCCTTTTTTGTAAGATTTTTATCGCAATTATATAGTTAATTTCTTTGACAATTACTTTCGTTTGTTAGTTAAAAATGGTCCAATCAAGAATGCAGAGTATGTATAGGAAGGCGACTGTGTGTCTAAAACCCACCAGGTGTCTCGCATTACAGCCAGGTTAGTTATTAATCTTGCGCGCTGAACATTTTCCTATTGGTCTCATCTTTATTCAAATACAAGGATAAATTTCTATTTCTAAGTAAGAATATCAAATTTATTATGTCGATAGGCTTGACAGACATCATGGCGACATCAAGAAACCAAACAGTGTTACTAAAGGCATGGAAGGGCTGGAGAGAAGCAACACGCAAGATCAAGCCACACTACAACGAATTTGTGGACCTATCTAACGAGGGCATAAGAGCGTTAGGTACTGTTAGTGCGTCATAGTTGAAACCCATCCATTATTTTGCATCCTTTTGCAAAAAACAAAATAAGTAAGCTCTTTATTCTTTAAAGAAATAACATCTTAAGCGACTTCATATATGATATAAAAATGCCACATACCACAAGGAAAAACCTGACATAGTAAGAATTAAAGAACATTTATTTGGGGCTACATATGTCGTTATATCGTCATATCAGCAGATATTCAATGTACAATAGGTACCATGTTTCATTCATCGTTGACACTTTTCAGGGTATTCTGATACTGGTGACTACTGGAGGTCAAAGTATGAATCATCACAATTTGCAGCTGACCTTGATCAACTTTTCATACAATTAACTCCACTTTATGAGAACCTCCACACTTTCGTTAGGAAGCGCTTAGGAAAGTTGTATGGCAAGTTTCCTGCCTCAGGTCACATTCCTGCACATCTCTTAGGTAAGATATGAAACACTCTCAAAATTCAAGTTTTAGTTAAATTGCTTATTTTAACTGCCATCTGCTCCACTATTGCATGATAAGATTTATCCCTTGTATCAAGTCTGTAAAAAGTGAGTTTCGCGTCTAGTTGCTGCCATCATGTAACTTTATAACTTGGATAGTCAATTGTATATATTGACACTTTTGTAAGATATACCTTGTTGCTCCGGCCGGGGAAGGGGAAGGACTCAGTTGAAATTTTATATTATTAAGACCTGCTTACTTCTTGTTTTTGGTTTTTTTGTTTTATCATTTTATAGAAAAGAACTGAGGTGAATACTTTCACTGGACGATGACTTTATTTTCTCGGTATACTGGTCGCATTCTTTAAATCATCCAAAGTCGTTCACAGAAAATCATGCAAAAGCATATTACGGTCAAAATATAATGTTAATCACATCGTAGATCAAATCTGAGCTTGCAATATACCAGAAACTATTTTAGAGTAATAAAAAATATATAGTTTTCATGTGAAAATGTAAAACAAAATTAATAATTAAGATCTTTAACGCCATACATATTTTATCATGTGAACAATGACTGTAGTATATATGAACGTGTATTCTATTCATTTCATGCACAAATAAATTCATTTTCAGGAATTGTAAATTTCAGAAATTCTCATTGAATTAAAGATTCGCTTACGTTACAGGTAACATGTGGGGTCAGTCTTGGGGGAACATCTACGATCTACTTATTCCATATGAAGGTAGTCGGAGTATGGGGGTAACATCGGAGCTAAAACGTCAGGTAGGTACCCATACGCTAAAATTCCTTTTGGTGAGGTTACGTTTGTTGGAACGTCAAATACAGGGTAAAAATACACATGAAAACCCCCTTCCGCCCCTACATTCAAAACATAACACATAGGAGAAAAAATTTTAAAAATAAGATTTTTAGTTGCAATAATGCCCATTTCTCCTGGATATTCAATCGAATCAATGCATTAGACATTCTTGTCATACTTATCGGTGTTTAAAGATTCATGTGATTAAATTTTTTAAATGTGAATAGTTCAATTATTGATATGAATGACTCGCCATAACCTCATTTATTTTTATTTCTAGGGGTACACTGTTGAAAGGATGTTTAAGACTGCTGAAGAGTTTTTCGTCTCGTTGGGATTATCTCCCTTGCCAGTGTCATTCTGGAACAAATCAATGTTGGAGAAACCTGTTGACAGAGATGTTGAGTGCCAGGCATCAGTTTTTGACATGTTTAATCAAACTGACGTCAGGTAGTTTATGTGATACTCGGACATAATAGATACGTATTATTGTACATATACTTGTTCAGTGACATAACCTATCTCATAACACTCCATATTCAACGTCTTATTATTAAGTATCGTCTTGTGTTCCACTAGAAGAGTTCGACAGATTGACTGTTTTAATGTAATTTAGCTCCACATCGCAAACGTTTCTTACGTTTTTATCTGTTGTGATAAAATGCTATTAACAATATTAATTTCTATAGATTTATGGTTTACAAGCAAGTCCTGTTCTGGTCTTTATCTTAAATATAGTAGTTATCTATTTCATAACCGACCAAAGTGTTACAACAATATATTTTAATGGCAGGGGATTCGGGAATAGATTTCAGGATGGTTGTTTGAAATTGACTCTTTTGCAACAATCCTATTTCACTGCAGGCTAAAGATGTGCGCAAAAGTCAACCAGGAGGACCTCTTCACTATCCATCACGTGCTAGGACACTTACAATATTTCCTTCAGTACCGAAAACAGCCGATCACCTTCAGAGAAGGAGCTAACCCAGGTACATCCACATTTTACTCAAGAGTGAATTAGTTGACCAAAACAACTATCACTGGATATGCCAGGAAAGTGATTTAGTAAATGAATAAAATAACAAAATCTGTCATAAACGATGAATAATGACGAACAACACCAGAGGAAAAGAATTGCAATTTATCCTCTTTCTCTACATTTTTTTAAAGTGTTTTTCCCTTTACTTTTTTGGATGACCTCAAAAGTTCCCTTTAATTGTGCATTAGAATTTCATTGACTTTGATAGAAGATATATGTGTATATGTTTATACCAAACAAGTCGATTTTAATGGAAATTGTTCTAGCCTTCGCTGAAGCAGTAGGTGATGCCGTGTCACTATCGGTCTCCACGTCATCACATCTTATGAAAATTGGACTGCTGAATGCTAGCTCTCACCAAGAGGATGGTTTTAGTAAGTTGTCTATTTCTACATAATGTAATACGAATATCTTAGATGCATGGTTTAATTTATAGCTAGATTCATTGGAAAATACATCTTGATTTGTTGGAAAACAATCAACTTAATACTGTTGAAATATAGACAACCATGAAATACACTGACAAACTACAAACTATCGTCTTCTATCAATTGCAAATTGCGTCATATTAATTCATATCTGATATGCATGTTTGCCTGGAATACTAAGTGCTAAATGAAAACCCTCATGTTGGGACAGGTAATCCTACCTTTTAACATCCGTCAACCCCAGACAACTATGTTAAAAAGAACCGACCACCCTCTCAACATAAAACAAATGGTGAAACTGTGCTTAGTTGATATTAGTTCGTACGTGATGTCTAAAGCTTTTAATTTGACAATTTAAAGCGGAATTGAACTATCTTAAATTGATGCAAATTTCTTCGTATAATTCAGACGTTTAAAGATACTTAGGTTTGCTATGATGCAGTACGTGTATATTTTCATCTAGTTACAAATCAACATGATGGAAAATCAATCTTTTTTAATCAAACAAATATTTTAAAATGTGCTATTGAGCCTGCAGTTGGTGATTAATATATTTTCACAACATATGTGAAGCCGACCGTGCTAATGTCTAGACTAACGGGATCACGGGGAAACACTGAAATCATAATGACAATGTTTACCTGTCAGTTTATAAATGGAAAACCTGAGGCCATGTGACGCATCATATAACATTTAGTGTCATAATAAATGAGCTAGGCATGTTGTGTAGAGTGTTAATATAAATGAAGGTGTTCACAACATGTCTACAGTATTTTAATAATAATATTCTTCACGACATATTATGAACAAAAATGATATAAAAATTTCAACACCAGTTTTTTGGTTTTCTTTAACTACAAACCTTCTTCAATTAAAACAGTGAGGTGGTCATGTACTCAAGAAGATGTGAAATCTACATGGTCTCAGTATATCAAAAAGCGCATCAATGTGCAATATGTATGTTACTAACTAAACGACATATCTGTAGGCTTCTTTCATTTATAGATATAAATGTATCATAACATATTACAAAAACGTGGTTATTCATGATTAAAACATCTTAATTCTAGCTCAATATGTTGTTGTATTAGTGAATGCCACGTTTGAACCTTTGAAGGCATTTGATCAACCTAAAGTCTGATGTTTTGTTTAGAAGCGGACATCAATTTCCTGATGACGATGGCTCTAGATAAGATTGCATTCCTGCCCTTTAGCTATTTGGTCGACCAATGGCGGTGGAGCGTATTCAATGGAGAAACAAGTCCTGGGCAATACAATGAGAAATGGTGGCAACTCAGGTGACATCTTAATGTTATCCCACTGTAGCCATTTGGTTAAGAATCATATTCCATCATGTGATGTTCTTTCCATTTTTAGATTAAGTCATCATGTTATTAATTGGTCGTTTAAGAATTCAGATTCTCAACTAAAGTTTGCACCACGATACCCTTAATGAACGTAGATAGCTGAAAGATAAATGTTTTAAAACGGCTTCGTAAATTGCCGAACAATACTTCATTTCAAAATCATAAGATAAAATTACAGCAGTGCATCCTTTAATAAAAATGTTTACAATAATACATTGAAGCGAGATGACTGCTAACTCAAGGGGAAGACTGAAGTGTTCAGTTTTGAATATTTAGTAAAAACGTTGCACTTTGAGCTGAAAATGAAATGTAGTTATTCCCTATTGCTTACAAACTGCTTCATGTACAGGTGTAAATATCAAGGTATTTCTCCGCCTGTGGAGAGGACCGATGATGACTTTGATCCTGGAGCAAAATATCATATTCCTGCAAATAGGGAATTTACTAGGTAAGCGTACTTGTTGAAACCAGTTTTATCTGTCTGTGTAATACACAAAGGAATTGAAATGAACATTTTAAAGATATTTGCACATTTTTAAAAAGAATGATATGGTAATAAATCTATGTTCTCACACATTTTCATATTGAATTTTAAGAAACAATTTTTTTTTAATTATTGAAAGTCTAGGTGAGTAAAAATAAAAAACCTCAAAATCTCATATGTTTGTCATGTATCTTTTTACTGACAAATGTGGTGGACCAAATCAAACATTTCGACGTGCCATTTTCAATTTATGACGTAACGTCATTGTCTATATTATGACATTACAATGGATTTCTGACTGGCGTAGCCAATACAAAACAATCTTTTGTAAATAAAACTGGTGACACAAAAACATAACGAAGACATATTCACTGGGTAGCAAACGAGTTATGTTAAAACATTGTTGATGTCATAGGTAAGATAATAAGATATAATGAAATATGACAAGTATTAAGGCCAAATTAGGACTAACATATCGGGAACATAGTTCAACACAATTTTTATTTCTATTAATCCATTATTTTTACGGAAACATAACAATCCCAGTATTTTTATACACGAATTAGACTTTGGTTTTAAATATGTTCATAAGGACCACTCTGCCTTTGTTAAAAATAATGTTTTTGTTGAAATTAAGGCTTAAGTGTAGCAATTCATTATTAGATCATGGATTTGATAACCTGAAGTTGAAAATCGGATTTATTTTTAGAACTGAAAATCAATAATGAATCATGTACTTATTTCTAATATGTTATATCAGCTACATTCAATTTACCATTTGATATAAGATTCTGCATTCTTGCCACATAGTCACACCATAAGCTTTCAGTCTAAGATCATATTCATATCTGGACACAAATGATTGATATTTAATTTCGGAAAATGCTTTTAAGTTACGCTACACATAAACTCGCGCGGGAGACCCATCTACTTTCAAGAAAATCAATATGTCAATATTTTGATTTGCGTTCTATAAATATCTTTTTGAAAATCAAATTGCATTTCAAACATATAAAAAAAAAGTTATCCATTTACTTTCTGTACCACCAGATACTTTGTCAGTTCTGTGGTCCAGTTCCAGTTCTATAAGGCCCTGTGTGACGCCGCTGGCCATACAGGTCCTCTACACACATGTGACATATACGAGTCTAAGGAAGCTGGTAAATTACTGGGGTAAGTATACCTTACACTGGTGTAACAAATACCAGTCTAAGGAAGCTGGCAAATAGCCGGGGTAGGTTTACCTTATACTGATGTAACAAATACCAATCTAGAGAAGCTGGCAAATTACTGGGGTAAAAATACCTAACACAAGAGTAACAAATACAAGTCTATGGAAGCTGTCAAAGTATTCGGGTATGTATACCTTAATCTGGTGTAACAAATACCAGTCTGAGTAGACTGTCCAATTACCGGGGTAGGAATTCCTTACACTAGGGTAACATATACCAGTCTAAGGAGGCTTGCAAATCACTGCGGTGACTATTCACTGTTCTTATGTAACAAATACCAGTCAAGGAGAGTAGGCAAACTAACTGGGTATCTATTTCTTCTTGTAGAGTAACATATACCACTTCAAGGAAGCTGGCAAATTAATGAGGTGTTTTCAAATTAGTCTTTTTTACCAAAAACAAAAAAGTAAATATCAGCCACATTAATTATAATCCAATCGCAAATTCAATAAAACAAGGGAAAACTATACACAAAAGAAATATTTACACGGACATGCCTGTAAAAGTACACGGAAAATAAAGCCAGGTGTTCCGGAAGAGTAAGTGTCTTCTGCTTCACAGACACATCGAGCTTCATATTACAAGAAATAGTAAGTTTCTCAATGAGATCACTATGGCGACCGTAAGATTAGATTTCCCCATAATTATCATCAACCTATTGGTTTGATTTGATTCTAATTCTAGAAGCTCCTATCTGGATGCTCGTTTACTGAAGGATATGTTATGAATTATGGGCAAAATGGAATACTCAGTACGGGCTTATATTTGTGAATGGTAGTGAAAATTCATTAAACAAATTTTAATTCATCAGGGACATGCTAAAACTGGGATCATCTGTTCCCTGGCCAGAGGCAATGAAGTCATTGACGGATCAAAGTAAGATGGATGTCGGACCTTTGCTTGAGTATTTCAAGCCTCTCAATGACTGGTTACGGACAGAAAATTATCGGGAACGTCCAGGCTGGACGGACGCGTGCCCAACCAAACGACAAATGACAACTCCTAAAGGAAGTGATATCTCAGGGGCATACCGCAAAAACACCTCACTTACTGTCCTCATGTGTGTTGCATTTTTATGTAAACTTATTTTAGTTTAATGTCTGTTTGTCAAAGAATGGTACAATGGTGCTTTTATGTTTATATATTTTGTTGAATATATTAATCAAGAGGTCGTCAACGAACGCATATTAATAGAGGAAACGAGCGAGCTATGGGTTTTTCATCGAGGAATTGATTTATGTCTTTTATTTTTAGTGGAAATATAAATGCGTCGTATTTTTGCATTGCTCAGTTTGGAAAGTTCTTTTGTTTGTAATTACTAGAGAGAAAATTCCATTTACATGAGATCATCTTACAACTTATTCCCGATATATTCAATTTTTTCGTAATGAATGATATGTGCAGTTATCTTTATGTTATACCATTCTGATATTTGTATTCTTAATTATCTACATACAAGTAAAATATTAACTGTAAACATGAAATTGGGTGTAAGGCATAGCTTCATTGCTGTCTGAGTGTTTTTTTGTTTTGTTTTATTTTCTTTATTTTTTCAAAAAGCTCCGTAAAATGGCGTCCTGACGATTATCAAAGTTCTTGATGAGAGCATACGAGTATATTTAATTAATCAGGTAGTCTTTTTTAAGTTGTGAGACATTGATTGTTTTTCCTATTATCATTATTTGCTTAATATTTCAATAGTATTATACTGTATTGTATTGTATTCGTGAGAAGTTTGTCAACTTTCCCAATTCAGACGTAAGTGCCTATTCTAAAAGTTCCACTATCATCTTAAAATAATCAAAATGGAGATTCAAACTCTCTTTTCACAAGTCTGCAATAAAGATATGTACTTCAACATAGTTCTACATTTTCCAAATCAATATGCATATAAACATTTTACTATATTTATGATAAATCTTTGCAGCAACTAATATTAATTACTTCTGTTTAGTGGGGATATTGAGCAAGAATATTTATGTGAGAGAAACCGGAAAAGTCAGAAAAGTGAACTTTACATGGTCTTTGAGAAAGAAATCAAAACCGCAACTGTCTTGAAGAGACAATAATTAATATAATTAAAGGTTAGGCAAAGTTTCTATTATGTGCTTGGTTTGAAAAAAATGTCACAGAGTATTGGATTGCTTTGAAAATACGTTATGAACACAGTATTTGTGTGTGTGTGTGTGTGTGTGTGTGTGTGTGTGTGTGTGTGACATTTGTAACGTGAATTCTCAACGTGAAATTATAATATGTATAATAATGTATTACTGAACACCTATCAGATATAAATGACATTATCGAAACAAACAAATAATGTGAATTGCCATTCTGTATTTAGTTCACTTAGAAATTTGTCATGTGATGAAGAATGGATTTTTTTTTATTAACCCACTCCGTGTTCACAATGTACCAAAGTGTGACATTAAAAGCAAATTACGTTAACGGCAAATATTTTAATGTAAGTTTAAACTGTACACCTGTTTCATTTTTATAGATAAATGAAAAATATTTCGAATCAACAATGTTAAATGTTTACCTTAAGCTTCTGATTATAATCTTCTCGTTTTTGTTGTTTTGGAATGTATGTCTGTTTTTATTTGCATCCATTAATTTCCTTAAAATTGCTTTGAAAAAACTGGTGATGTATATTGTATATCAATTTTAAAATATATGGGAAATTGAAGTATCATGCCTTTATGATTTTTTAAATACAACGACATGAATATGTCACTATATTTCAAGACATCGTTTAGCAAATGCAGTACTGATAATATTCCAGAAGGAACTATGTTAGAGTGCTTGCTTAAAGGTTTGACTGAAATCTACAAAATTACCAGATGGAACATATCATCTTTATGTCTTTTATTAGATACATTATCGGCTTGTTTTCAACCATTTTTTTAAAAATTAATTTTCGTTTACAATATCAGTAGTATCACTAGTACCAAGGCGAAAGTTTAATAGATATCCAAACGAAGAAAATAAAGTGAACATAAAATCAGGGTACCAGGCTTTAATATAATTGTACATAAAACACATGTTACACAACACACACCTCCGTTGATTAAAAATTTCGATACACGTGTATCCGGGCATATCTATGTTTATCTTTAGTTAGCATATCAAATTATTATGAGGTCCATGTGGGCAAATCATTGTCCATCCATTAGCAATTCAAAAATATCATTAATTACTTGAGTCGTATTTGAGACTTATGTGAACAAAATTCTGCCATCTTGTATTTTTACATCAGAAGATCTGTATTGATATTTTGTGAGAAGGTAATAATTTTATCTTAAGCAAGAAGAAGACGGAAATGAAAATGTCTTTTGAATTTGAGCTTACCGTTATCTATGAGATTTTGCCGATTGTGTACATTGCAAACCATTCGAATGTTATGATGAATATGTATTTTTATCGTTATTTCTAAACACATATCGGCACAAAAATGCATTTCGAACTTCCTGTTGGCTTCAAGGCAAGCCAATAAAAGTCATATTGCATCCTGTGAGGCATAGTTTTTTAATTGATGTCGGTTTGAAGACTCATCAATCATATCTACATTACACAACCAGAACTGTATGAAAACAGTTTTTAATAGTTCTGCGCAAAAAACAAAACAAAAAACAAAAAACAAAAAACAAAAAAAAAAAAAAAAAACAAAAAACAAAAATGAAATGTGTGTTAATCAGCTGCCACCACAAGCAGTATCGATAGATCAATAATGCGAGGAAGAAATGTTTATTTGACTGTTAATGCGATGTCACATACAAGTTTTTATCGTAATTTTTCATGGTAGTAATATAAATGGCTATGAAGAACTCCGACTTGTTTATTTAGATGTAGAAAATAGTATATAATTCACTTTCTTTCACCATCACATGATAGAAAGTTTGTACATGGTTGAAATATGTTGCATCCGTCTTACGTACGAAAAAGATCCATTCGCAATAACGATCCAAACAAATATAAATTAACTCAATAAAGCGGACACATTTTTATTTTTTACGTACAATGTAAATTTCTATCATTATCTTCATTTGTCAAGATTCAAAGACGACTGTGGACTTCTTAAGTAGTTTGTTACTGAAGCAATCAACTAGGACAAATCCAGAAATAGTTTGTATCTACTAATAAATGTAATTCATATAGCTAGATACACTAGTGGTATATAAGCTTGTAAAAAAGGGGTATATGACGAAACAAAGAAAGTTTGTGCTGCAACACTGTATACATGATTGTCTTGTCGCAAAGTTATTCCGTCGTTGTTACAAATGATGCTATATCAATGATGCCGCTGACCTTTTCACTACCTGATATACACTAGGTATTGATTCCTTTCATCTCTTTCACAGTGAAGGAAATGTAATACATTGCCCTGTATAAATACCACGACTTTTTTCGAACAAATACTTAATCATTTCACTCATTCATACTGTATTCTCATGATGTTTTAATTTTATACCAATAATGTTTATAGGTCATTGAAACGTAAAAACTATATATCATACAACATGTAATATCAAGTATTTCTTCAGAAATACCGATCATTTTGGAACAATTTTGCTTCTTGTTTTCAGTAAAAATGTATGGCACAGAAATCCTTAACGCTTCTTGTTAATACGACGCAGATGTCTTCTTTATGTTTTTTGTTCTTTTTACTGATGAAAGAGCTCCATCAAATCATAATCTTTTTTTTTTGAGCTATGCAATAAGAACAGATGAAAACATTTATCATTGAAGGGAAGTTTTCATGTTTTACCTCATTTCATCGATTTGGAGTTTGGATAACGATTTGATTACCTTGTCGGTAGCTTTGTTTTATCTGATTACCTTTCACAGAGTTATCTAGCACAACAGATGAGACGCCAGCAACAAACATCTGCGTTCCGAGTACGAGTATCAAAGCCTGATCAGCAGAGACATTACCTGTCAACATGCAGGGAACTGCTTGTAATGCCTTACTTGCAAACTTCCGTATCCAATTTCTATCGAAGATTACATGAGTTGATATTTTGTCCCAGACATGTTAATTGAAGATCTAATTAAGATACTGCCACGTACTGCATAGCAAGTTTTAACATCAGGCTACTTATTTCTCATGGATTTCCCAGTCGACTATTTCAGTACTAGTTGAAGACACCATATTCAACAGACCAAATGATGAAGCTGATGCACCATGTCTTATGATATGCATAAATGCATTGCTACCTTTGCTGCTTACTAGTGTCCTTAAGAACTCATAGGCTGTTTTTGTATAAGATTTCGGAAATAACAAATACAAACTTTTCCGTTAGTGAACGGAGGAAAACTAAAGTGACATTGAGTGACATATTGATCGAAAATGATACCTAATCTGAATTATTTTTGTTGTTAATGTATATAAATTGAAATAAGTATGTGAAGGATATAGGTGACAGATAAAGCATTACTTGTGAAAAACGATAGCATAAACATCTTACTAAGGTTGAAAAGTAATGATACATGCATTGAATTTCATATATACCGACATATTTCAATGTTACCTTTATTTCAATGTTACCTGTATCGATAGTGTTTTGGTGATTTTCATCCATTTGCAAATATTAGTCCAGCATATAACGATATTCCGATCACTGCCAAGTTTCGCAAGGATGACGTGTTGATATGCTGTAGTGTTGACAGTCCTAAAGACACCCGCTTTCCGTGGAAACAGCAAAAACGCCTCTTATAACTGGTTCGACAAATGGACGATATTACAGCTCCGAATTTACCAATCATTTCGAGCAGCTTGAACAAAATACCGACAAGAATCGACATGGTAAACTTGCATTTCACTACAGGAAAATAGAGAGAACAAAAATTAAAAGTTTAACAATAGCATATTTTTTCTGTATCGTATCGTGCTACGTATTTTGCAAAACACTGTATAATAATTATTTGAATTTCATTCGACGGGCCTCTTAATGTTGTTCGGTAAGTTAGCCATCAACTACAATGGAGGTCATTGCCTTCAAATGACCCGGCGACAATGAAACCAGCACATGCATTTATGCCCGAATGTTTCCTTAATAAATAAATGGTAAACGCATGTAAAGGAATAAAGAAACATGTGTTTTGGTAAATATAGAAAGACCAGTTCACATTATTTTGCCAGTATTGCAATAAAACTGCTTCAAAATACTACTTTGTCCTTTCATGACTATGCATTGATACAATTGGTCTGAGTTGTAGGTAGTATCTGTAGTCGTTTTTATATAGTACCTTACCGATGTAAGTTTGATAAGGACAGTATTTTCACAATATGACGTCGTAGCCTGTCCGGCGCCGACAGATCTGGCCAGAATGCCACAAAGTCCCTTCATCAGGATCCCTTTGTTGATAGCATGCCATGGTGGAGGGTAGGACCCAGTCACTTTAGAAATCATCATGTAGTCACCAATAGATTCAATGGTAGAGAATAAGTAGGAGATGATAAATTTAAATCGAGGTGGCCCAAACTGTTCTTTAAAAAATATATTAATTTAAAAGGATATTTTGAAAGTCATTTCGGTTTTTTCATCTTATCATACATATTATCAAAGGTATCCTGTTGAATGTTGACGGCACTGATATATCAAGTGACATGTAATGTAACAACTTCGTCCCTCTGTTAATGCCTTATCAACATAACATTTCACTTTTGACATTTCACAATTGCAATTAATTTGATTAAATTGAAATGCTACAGTAGTTGTTATCTTGTAACAATCATATTTGTCAACGTTTGTTAGAGCATAAAAAGAAATTGTGATTGATTATATGAAAAATAACAAAGCGATGACCGCACTGTTAGCATATCAAACTGTACTAGAATAGTTCATCTGCGTTTTCACTGATAGTCTAATAAATACCTAGATATCCTTATCATGGTGAAAGATGGAAAATGTGCGTCCACGTAACAGTTCGAGCTCGGAACGAAGGTGATGCAAGGTCATCAGAAAGCACATCATTCTCCGTCAACTCCCAACATTAGTACCGTCAGTAATATCTACACACAAACTGAAGACATATTAGTCGTTGGATTGTAAATTGTACAAGCATACATTCAAAATAACTGTCAGGTCAGCCTCATCATTGTTATATTAAAACAAAAAGTCTGACTTTTTTATGTATTAGTGTTGTAAACGACTTATTTAAATCTGCTTTAAACAAGTGTTCCTTTTTCATTCGTATGCATTATATAGAAAACGACGCCGGATAGTAATTGGCATCGTAATGATTTCTTGCGTCTATAAAAAGTTGTGAGATAAGAATAATTTAATTTACAAACATCAGTTAGTACTTATTAAAAATAATAGTTACGTTAAAATTTAAGCGTAAATCCATTCAACATTAGCAAAAAATTATTACTTTGAAAGGTTTAACATGAATATACCTATTGTTGCAAATGTAAACGATTTTTGTTGATAAAACTTTAACGTAACAAAAAGGCCAGCACCAACTGAGCTGAATCTAAATATGATTTAATCAATAATAGTCAATGGAAATAACGTTCCGAATTCTTACCAAAAATTTCTGAAATAAGGATATATTGTCTCGTGTTTTGTGTCTTGCAGGTCCGTTTGGAATGTTTTCCAAGGCACATTCCTTCTTGCATACCAGCAAGTCCGTTGACAGGAAGGAAAGTATATGTTGGCGAAATACGTCACACAAAGAATTATAACAACAACTCCACTGAAATATGATATGTATGTTATAGCAGGTCTAACAAACAATACTTGGATTTAGTTAGTTCATTTTAGCGACCTTTAAAAAGACGTCGAAGGACGGAAAGAAGAAAACATATGTAACCCTGGTAAAATACTAGCCGCAATATACCACTCGGCTAAAAGAACTTCTCTTTAGCTCGATTGGTTAAGCGTCAGACTAGTGTGTTAAGTCTCTTGAATCTCATAGAAAATAGAAACGAAATTCTGATTGTGCATTTTTTTTCATTGATAACGTCACAGAATATAAAAAAAAAAACATGAATTGTAGACATCACAGTTAAAACAGAGAGAATCTTGATTCAATCACAACTCTGTTAGGTGTATTTTTACAAGTGTGATCTTTCATGTATTGGGTACTTGTGTGATAAAATGTTATTATTCAATCTTAATGAACATCACTGGATGTCTTTCCTGATTTTTATACTACAACTAAGGTATACATTTCAATACAATTATTTACTTCCAGAGACACTTGCAAAACAGCTTCCGTCACATCATTTACCTATTTATCGAAACAGTCACTCGTAAAGGTGAAAACCTGACCCCTGCACTAATCATATGGTATCTCATTACATGATTTTCAGATCCATCGGGAATAAAGAAA